TCAATCTCGATGTCCTTAATGGGGCGGTGCAGTAGATAGGGCTTGCCGGCGCATACACCCATCATGCTTTTTAGGGATGTGATATACATAAGCTCTGCCGTGCTTAACTATGGTGCAGTTCACTTATGCGCCTGTCATATACCATATACCCGGGTACAGATCCGAAGATCCGGATCTCAGATCCGATCCAGATCCGATGGACATATCCGTCGTCCAGTCCACAGATCCAATCTGATTCTTATTTCATGTCCTGTTCATATAACTCTAACTAGCATTCATCTCCTTTCAGTATTCCTGTACACCGGTATACCGGTTATCCTTTACTTCCGCTATGCTTACTGATCCGCTACACTTACTGATCCGCTTTAACTTATACTTCATTCCCGGTTCATGATTCATGATCCATCTGACTTACTGATACGCTGTGCACATACTTTGCTAATACTTCGTACATAGCCTCGCGCCTTTGCTTATTGATCATTCCGTTAGTTATCCATAGTATATAAACCCTTGTACATGCGCTGTAGTAGATCAGTTCGAATATCATCTTAGATTGCACTCATTCTGTCTGGACTCTAAGTCCTTCTGTTATCTGTCCAGACTTGAGTACGATACTCTTGTCTACTCCGAGACTTAGGATTGATTCCTATAGTCTATATATCCGCCACTGTCTTCGGACAGTCCTCACGCGTTAGTTTCTAGTTCGGATCCGATCTGGATTAGCTGTTACTCTACACGTCTGATATCCGGAAGCCTTAATGGATCCATTACGATACTTATCTGTCTCACTAGACGCGATACTCTAGCACTCTAAAATAAGGGGCAAGACTCAGGAAAGGGGCACAGCACACGAGCTGAGGCCAAAGCCCTTCAGATCCAATACCTCTTGAGTACGGTCTTAACAGCGCCGCTACTTTTGTGCAAAATTTCTAGGGTCGTGAGAAAAAGTCCCGGGAACTTTCTGTCTTGTAAAAATGCTTAGATTGATGATAGGAATAAATTCTCAAGAGTGATAGTTCATTGGATGAAATCTGAGTGAGATAAATTTTTGGCCATGGCTCAAATTGGCAGTGAGGCTAAGATACCCACAAAATTGGGGTAAAACAAGTCAAAAAGCCCCAAAATTCCCTCATGTTTATGTTAATGCAATACTGAATACTAAATTTTCAAGCTTTCGAGCAATTTTTTCGTGTCTTCAGTCCAGCCACCCTTGAAGTATGCACTCTGTCAGCATCCTATAAACTGTTAGGCTAGTAAATTTAGCCCCTTTGTAACAACTCCACATTCCGGATATTTGAATTTAATACATTCCCCCATCTATTCCAACAAGACTTGAGTTGTAAACTAAAACTGAACAGTAACTCAAGTACACTTTCTATATTTGGACTAGGGCTAGGGTTGGGCCGGGTCGACCTTCAATTTGGCGGTTGCCCCAATGTAGTGGTGCATAAGTGAACTGCACCATATTTCACAAGCATGTAGGAGCTTGCCATATAGCTCTTGTACATCTTGCAAAATGTGTGTTTCTCGCCGGCACCAGTTGTGAATAGCAAGAAGGTACTTGTTGACCTTGGGAATGCTGAGTGAAACGATGTGATTCTTTATGTCCCAATAAAAACCTATGCAGATAGTTGATGTGTTGAAGGGTTGATCTTGCTGGCATTCCCAGATGATACTTAAATCTGCGGAAAGGTTGTCAATGTCTGCTAGGCAGTAGCCAAAGAGCCTATCATGTTCTGATCTAGGGGATGCTTCTAATAAGTCTTTTAGCGGCCAGGAACAATCCTCATTGAATTCCTCTATTGATCTGTTGTCAAAGGGGAATCCCCCAAACCAAAGGTGACTACCAGATTGTTGCATGCCCCTCTGGGCGAGATCTTTGTGATGCTTGGAGCGCTGCACATTGTACTCTGCCAGAAACTCTTGCCGGATGTGGATGAATAAGTGGTCATCAACCCACTTGTCTAATGGCCCACTGCCATGGTGTCTGAATATTTCTGCTCCTGTGTCAGCAACATGCCCATATACACCTGTTGATGGAGCAGCTCCAAAGGCCATGCAGGTGTCTACACAAAACTTCGAGTCTGATACTCGTACTACGCTCGAAGGCCATTGAGAAGGGTGGAGTGGGATGGTTCTATATGCTTCCACTATGTCTTGAGTTGCAACTTCTGACCCTGCCAGGAGCCTGGAAATTAGAAGGTCAATGATAGAAAACTTGCCCCATGTGGTAGGGAAGCAGTTAGAGTCAATGAATGAATTAATGGAGGGGTTAGGGTATGTAGGCATTAGGGAATGTGGGAAGGAAAAGTTTTGGACTAATCTGTATTTGCCTGGCTTAGGTATAATGGACAAGGGAGAGGATTGGAAGGGTCTAATGAGACATTTGAGAGTATCACGGCCGAAGGGGCCTATGTATCTTTCTTTCTCAAATTCTTTCCTGATGATGGTATTAAACTCGGAACTATATTGGGTAACTGAGTCTTTGTTCGGAGGGATTTGTATGTGGGTAATTATGGGGAAATCTAAAAGGAAACCTGAATGAAAGCCTTCTGGGACTTTGGAGAATTGGTCAAGAGCTTTGGCGGCACGGAGGGCTTGCTCCCACACATTAGCTATGTAAGGAGTGTGAGGATTATGATTTCTGAGAGCGAGTGCAACACTGGGCTCTGTGCTTGGGGGCACCACATCCTGAACACAGGTGCTTGTTGCTGTGTTGGGAGCTGTTGCAACCTTCTTCATGTTGCCAAGCTGTGCATAGCTGACACCTGTCTTTGGTCCAGAGCGCTTTCTTGATGTGCTCTGAGAAGATGTTGAAGGCATTGTCCCAGGTGCGTGAGGCAGAACATTTGACTGTACGGTGAGGTTGCGACCGAGGCAGATGGCATAGCACGGGAGTGTGGGGTAGGAGTTGGACAATTCTTGAAAGGAGCATTGTTTCTTTCTCTGGTCTGCCCATTCCGCTGTGACAATATAGTTTTCCCTGGGCTGATATTCCCCCTTTTTACTTACCTTCACTTACCCACTTTCCTTAGTTTATGTTCGCATTTTTACTGCTTACATAATCATGTCTCCCTTTCACCAGTGTCAGTACCAGTCTGAATCACAGTCTTTTGCTTGATGATATTTCTACTCTCTGAGCTCTGAGTCTAGTACAGAAATTCTTTAGGGTCAAATAGCAGCTAGGCATAGCAATTTTGACCCAACATTTGAAGAGTACTTTACAGAGTTCTCTTCTTGTTGTGTTTCCCACACCGCATTGGGCGATGAAGGTCTCTTTTACCTGCTGAAGGAGCGGGCACCCATGCTGTGATTAGTGATGGGTGTAGACTGGGGTGGGGGGCGATTGTGTAGTCAGTAGTGCGATGGGGTATCCATGAGGATGATTTTGAGAGGGTGGGGTGGTGTGTGGTGGCCAATGAGACGCACGATGGTCAGGTGGTGACATGCATTGGTCAGGTGATGACACGCGTTGGTCGGGTAGTGACACGTGTTGGTCAGGTGGTGATGGTTGCCAAACAAACATGATGTCGAAATGGCAATGGATGGGTTAGCGCATGATGCATGTGAAGGAAGGTGAAGATTGAAGAAAAACGAGATAGATCAGTAAGTGGTACCTGTAGTACATTGAGTGGGATTCTACCTGTTTAAGTGCCACTAGCGCTTGTTTGTGGTCTAGATTGAAAATCTCTTCCCTCACCTCAACGATGAGTTTGAGGTTGAGTTTGGCAATAGACCAGCCATATGGGCCTCCTGCTGTCAGGTGCCATAATCTGTGCTGTTGGCTCTGGTAGAGAAGGAGAGCACACTACTTTAGCGGTGAGGCGATCTCAACCTGGCTGGGCTGATATGAAATATCTAAAAATGCTCAACCAGTATAAGTGAGTCTTGGCTCTGCCTAGCTGCTATACTCGCAGAATGCAAGAACATTCGACCCTAAAGGGGACTGCTACTGAACACAGAACCAGATGAAAGAAAGACCCTTGAAGTGCGATGGATGCGCGAAAGTGCAAGAAGAAAAGCGAAGTGAGCGCGAAGCGCGAGAGAGCGCACTAAGGTAAGCGCGAGCGTGGGAACATGAGCACTAAGGCGCGCGTTGTGCGGAAAATACCAGATAAGAAAATGGATAAGGAAGCGGATGTGCAGAGCGAGTGCAAATGCAGAGCGAGTGTTATAATGAGCGCGGATAATAGTCTAGTATAGGTGGATAATGATAACCATTGGAAACACAAAGTGCACCCAAGTGGTGACTACTACTTTAAAGTAAAACCCAATAGCGAGGGAAATACAGCAAAGGGGAGTAATAATGATGGAGTAGTAAGTCAGCAAACTTTATACTATGGAAATCGCATTGGAAGCGGAAGGGATAGGAGCAATAAGCGCTATGAATACATAATGACATGTAATAGCGCTGCACTGCTTGTTACAAACCATGAGGCAAGGGATATGAGGTACCAATGAGGTGGGTGGACATATATGGACGTTCCTGGATGATATGTGATGCAGGGCGCTTAAGCGCGAGAAAGCGCGCACGGCGCGTGTGTGGGAATACTGCGCATTGTGCGGGAATGTATCGCGCCTATGGCGCATTTCGCGGGAAAGCTGCGTGTTATGTGTAAAACAACTAGAGACATGATTGAAGTCAAATATAGCTGATGGTGCAAGTCGTGCATTGAAGGCCAATTGTCATGAGTTGTGAAAAGGTGTGAAATGTGCTCATATGTGCCTACAGAAATGCAAGTCTCTACAGCGGGTCTATGGCATGATGCCAATGATGGTTCTGGAGTGCTGTCCAGAAGCTAATGTGCATGTTGACTCTATCCTCTGGCCATTCCTGCTGTTTCATAGCGAGGATCATGCATGGAGCGGCTTTGTTAAATTCCTCCCAGGAGAGGTTCTCATCCTTGGTGATGACTGTTTTGGAGTCATGGGTTTCATCAGTGTTGACCCAAATCTGCTGGCCCTCATTTCCTGGGAGTAGTACCATGCCTTGCAGTTCCGTCGAGAGTAAGTTCTTTTTAGCTTCGCTTAAGCCTTTGTTAGTGAAGTAGAATAGTTCACAATAGTCTCCTGCTTGCAGTTTTTGGACAGCATAGTTGGAAGGAATGACAATGGGGGTGGTAGGTGTCTTGGCGGCTGAGACAGGTATGAACTTGGACTTGTTCTTCTTGTGCTCTTCTTTGCAAGCCACGGTCAACTCATCTTCAAGTGCTTGTTGCTTTTCTCATTCTTGTTTGGTGAGGAGATGCTCTGCCTCATGAGCTTGACACATTCTTGCTTCTTCTTGGTCTACCCAAAGGTCTTTGGCTGTGTTGTTGTTCATAGTCCAGATGGTTGCTAGTGCCTCTGCAGCTTGGGCTTCATCGGGGACGCCACTGTCAATTAAGCAAGTCCTAGCATCTTGATGTTCGTCAGCAGTGAAATCAGGTAGAACTTCATTATTAGGGTTGTCTAGCATAGGAATGTGTTGCTAGAAAATGAACAGAAAAGAGCTGAGAGCTGCTGTCGTCTATGGTGCTAGGTGTCTGATGTGGACGAGAAAAAGAGAGTTAATGTCACACTGCTTTCTCACATGTAGACTATATTCTATGTTAGCCTCGTGCCTCGACTAACTCAGACTGCCATATGGCAGTGTGCATGTGATGGCAGGTAGAAGTAGCTTAGACTTTACACATCGGGGTTTGCAATATTTAAGACAGGTTTTAATGTTGTGTGAAATGTGAAGATAACACTTAATATTTAGGTTGTCGTCAAAGCAGATGTAAGATTTCAAACATTAAAGAGATCTTGCATGACATGAGAAATACAAAGCATTAGCAAACATTTTGTTGCCAGCCGAACATCAACGACAATAAGAAACATAAATGTATTTTTAATGCTGCCCTAAACTTCAAAATGAAACTTCACATTTAATACTCGAAAAAACTTCAATTATTGCACGTGACTGAATGCCTGCTCATGTATGAAGTTTAGACTGCCACTTTGATGGGCATTAATATTTTAAATACCCCCTGATGATAAAATGTGAAGACAAATCATCAAGTTTTGTCTCCAGATAAAATTGATCGCCCGATGATCGCCCACTCATCGCACACTCATGGCTGAATCATCGCCCACAATCAAACAGTGCCAACTCATGAGTAGATAATGATTCTCTGAAACATTAGACACTAGAAAGTCTGATTGCTTGTATATACACAAATATACGTAGTAGAGTGAACTGAAGATCGATCACGAGATACAGATAGTATGACTACGGTGTGAAAAACACAACCTGACTAGGCACTTGTTAAGGTACTCAGCCAGTATATGTCTAAGCTCTGCCTATGCTGCTATACTTGCAAACAATAAAGCAAGAACGTTCAACCTGAGGGAAAAGCTACTAAGGACAACTTGAGATAGAAAGACCCGAAAGTGCGCTATAGCGCGGGAAAGCGCGTCACAAGATACAGCGCTAGTGTGCGGGAAAGTGTGTCGCAACTATAGAGCGCTATGGCGCAAGAAAAGCGGAAGTGCGGGTCGGTAGATGGTCGCTATCGGGTCGCTATCGGGTCGGTAGTGGAGCACTAATGCGTCGGTAGTGGAGTGCTAGTGCATCGGTAGTGGAGTGCTAGTGCGCGGGAAAAGCAGAAGTCAAGAAAAGCGGATACTGAGTCAAAGGAAGGTGCTGGATAGCGAGTGAGGTCAAGGGTATTGATTGCAAGGGTAAGGAAAGTCAAGGTAAACCAATAGGGGCTATAAGCGCAACTAAAGGTGACTATTTCTAAGTAAACCTAAGGAGAAGGAAATACAGTCGAAGGGAAGTAATGTTGAAGTAGTCACCATAGGCTTCTTATACTAGTAAACTATACCATCTTGGACTCAGAAGGGATAGGATATACATGTAATAAGACTGTAGCACTTTTTACAAACTCGAGGCAAGGCAAATTACATACCAATGAGGTAGGATAGACACATTGCTGGTAGTTCTGATAGCGCTATAAGCGCAGGAATAGCGTCAGATAAGTCGCAGGAGCATGAATAGCGCTGTGGGAATGTGCGCACATAGTGCGGGAAAGTGCGGAATAGCGTCAGACAAGGGTTATGGCTGAGACAAGTGAAGACTGCTGATAGGGGAGTAGTGAATAATATGAGGGATAACATTGGTCCACCTATTGAAGGCTTATGCAGGTATACATGCCTAGCGCCAATATGATTGTCACAATGGTATCACTTGAAACCGCCCATTGAGCAAAGTGACCAACAACCCAGGATACCTTGACATTTTCCAAGTGACTACTGAAGCTTGATGAGTACATTTTTGCGGGAAAAGGAGGATACATAGCAAATGGATCAGGCGGTCTGATGATCTAGTGGGATGAGTTTGTGTACAGCAAACACCAGTTCACCTGTGGGTGTGGCATAGATACATATGTTGAATACTGCTGGGGACAGGAGATGATAGTCGGTCACCCTGAGGATAAAAAAAACTTGACTATTCCCGACGTGAGTAGATGCTCTGCTGTAGATAAGACCATTGAATTTTAGTCGTGCGCATAATATGGCTGTGTGTCATTTGATGAGCGTGTACAAGTCTTCAGGTACAGCAACAGCTCTAGTGGAGGAAGAAGCCTGTATAATGTCATCCAAAGAATCCTCGGCAAGTTCTTCACCGAGACCTCTAGTGCTCTTGGGAGCATACATATTGTCAAACAGAACTTTGCACTCTTGAATAGCCAGTGGACAATCTGGTCGACTAAGCCAACAGCGAAGTTTTGAAGTTTTGATAAAAGAATATAACATCATAGTTTCCAACTCGCCTTGAAAAATCAGTTTTGCTACTAAACACTAGTGCTCCATAAAGACCCACCAATCTTGTGATTTACTGGAAGACGTTGAAGTATTTTGATTAAACATTCGAAAGGAAAGCACCACCAAGAGTGGGCAGGGCCAAATAGAAGTAGATAGTCGTATATGTGGAAGGCAGCATGGTGATTCAGCCGCAGAGCAAAGGTGGGGTGTATCTTCTTCAAATTTCCAACATAACGTGCAATGTGGGAGCAATACGCATGGGCTCTCTCTGCAGAGGTTGTTCGGGCACATGCGAGATATACTGCACAAACAAGTTCCATAGTATGGTTGAGAACAGCTCTAAGGTGGGTCCTGACTTCATCAGAAGGATGTGAGGTGCCAGCCCCCCACAAGCTCACAAGGGCAATGGGAATGTAGACTGGCTGATTAGGGAGTGCCACTCATCCGCTTTCATTGTCCTGGCAGATGCACTTCTGAAATCACTTGGGGCTGAAGTAAACCAGGATGGAACAGTTATCTCCTGGATGACATCTTGAACATGATTGAGTACATCTGGAGAATTGAGCTTGTGTTCCTTCTGCAGAGCAGTAAAAGGTTTTCCACGGCACTAAGAACAAACATAGGAAACTTGTAAAAAGGGAGCAGCACATTAAGAACTTACCCATTCCGCAAGAGCTTTGACTGTAGTCAATTTTGAACAATCTACTGGATTTCTGGGGAATGCATCACAAGGCCTCGCAAACAAACTTGAGGGGTCCCATATTTTTGTGAAGCAGAGATTTGTTTAACTTTTCCAGGTTTTTATCATCAGAAGGCAATGGGGAACCAAGAAGGATGTGTATAGCATCGGCCTGAGTTAATTCCTTGGAAGTCATTCCTGAAGGCATCTCGTCTAAGTTGCATGAAAAGGCTGGAGTGGATGAAGTCAATGAAGTGGTCACGGTAGTCAAACTGAGAAGGCTACGGGAGTGATGCTGGACTAAACCTTCCAATATGCAGTGCATTGGGTCAACGACAAGCTGGCATGAGGGGTCCCAGAATGGCAAACACCACATCTCTGAATAGCGCACACCATGAGCTTTGAATAGTTTCTCCTGTTCTGAGGTTGTTGCAGTGTCCCTCCACCGCTCAGCAAACTCCTGGAGTTCATCTTTATCACGAGGTTCCCAACTTTCAAAGTCCACTCTACCATAGGTAGTCTTGTGGTAGCAATTGCATGCACAACAATAGAAGTGACTACTGGTTCCAGCTAAAGAAGCAAGATGATGAGCAGCAGGAAGATCACAAACAGCCAGAGCAATAGTGCTGCGAGTGAGCTGGCCAGTAGGAAAACAAGCAGTCTTGGAAAAATTGATACCGCGCTCCCATGAATCTACCATGCCATTGATAAGTGGCCAGATGTAGTGATTGAGATGCTCGAGGGACAGTTGTTTCAGACCCAGGATGATCCCTGCAAGATACAAGTTTTCAGGCTTGTACCTAATATCCAATGGTAGATTCAAGCATGCCATAGAGATGATTCCAGAGGATTTGCTAGCACCATGCAAATTCATACCTTCAGGATTGAAGAAGTCCATGTGAAGAGCAAAAGCATAGCGTCCTTCGTTTCCTCTATCAATAAAAAGTGAACCTGGCTCTGGGCCACCAAACTGACAGAGAAATTGAGCTTTGAATGCGTGTTTCATCAAAGGCAGATGGGGAGAACTGATTGAGTCCTGCAAATCATCGCAGGCCTGATCCATCGCCGCCTCAATATCTGCACGGGAGAGGAGACCAGCGAGGTAGTCCTTGAAATCGTGGTACATGAATGTCTTCTTCAGTCGGAGTGCTCCATCATGGTCATGGCCAAGCGATGACATGCCGCATTCAGCCTCTGGCGTGGGGTGGTTTGTGCAACATTCAGGATATGTAGGAACAGTTGAGCCGTCTGTGGGCTGTAAGTGCAGTGACAATTGGAGCAGACCGCATATACAACAGTTTTCTCCGTGAGATGGAATTTTGAGAGTGCGGTTTCAAAAGTCATTGGAATTTGTCTAAGCACATTTTGGTGGGGAGAGCTGAGGCCACCATCTGATCTTCGGAATGCGAGGAATAGTAGGACTGAGATAAGTCCCAAGATGAAATTGCAACCTCACCTACTGACTCCCATGACAACTTTACACATCACACCAATGAATAAGGCGACCTGTGCAATTTCATCATACTGAGTCAGCAGAGAGTCATGGTGAACATCTATTGAATGTTGAGAACACGATCATGATAAAGATAGTCAACTCTTACTGACATCAAATTCGACTGCTGTACACAAGTCCATTTCGAGTGGCTTGTGACTGTTGAACTGGGCTTCCAAGCCATTTATCTCCAATATAATTTCCTTCTTCTGTGCAATCACAATGTCTGCATTTCATTTGACGTTCTCCACAGCTTTGCAAAGCAATGGTAGCTCACAACTAACATGATCGGGATCACCAGCAAGCAACAAGTGAAAGCACCGCTGAATGCGCAACTTGACGGTATCGAGGACTGTCAAGGCCTTCATGGTTGGCCGGTGTCTGATTTTCTTGGAGACATCACAACAATCAGCAGTTGCGACACTGGGTTCTCGTGCAACAAAATGATCCAACAATGTGAGTCGCTCAAGATCATCTACCAGAGCTGGAATAGATACTGGTGGAGTGGGGTTGGGGTGCTCCAGACGCCCACGCACATGTGGAGCAACAAGCAGTTCGTTGTCATTGAGGGTGAGTGTGTGGAGCTGTGAGGCTACCAAATCCGCGCCATCATTCCTGCAGTCAGATCCAGCAGTATGAATGAGCGCAGCATGTTCTGCTTGGGTACATTGAGTATGTTGTAGATGAGTGGCCATAAGACATTCTGCGATAAGCACCCCCTTAGGTGTGCCATCATCATCACGATCACTGGTTTCGATGCATTCCTCACAGATGCACCATTTATACACTGTGCATGACACGGGCATGAAGAGCAGGGGGCGACGATAAAACTCAATAGCAACGACAGTATGTACCGTCGTTTCTATGAATTGGACAGGGAGTGAGAGTCGTAGAGTTGGAGAGCCAGAACCAGCTGCATGGGCAAGCTTTTAAGTGAGACGAACAACAACAACAACAACAACAACAACAACAACAACAACAACAACAACAACAACAACAACAACAACAACAACAACAACAACAACAACAACAACAACAACAACAACAACAACAACAACAGAAGAAGAAACAACTTGCAATGTCTAGTAATGGAACAACAAGAACAACAATCAGTGAAATACAACAAGATGTTGCAATCACAGCAGTAAGCTTGGTACTAAAATGTGATGTTCATTAGAACAACTACCAAATGAGGAAATAAACTAGCATATGCACCTATGGCAGTACTGTGGGAAAGAGGTAAAAGGCTACTCAATAACTAAGTGTCATGTCAACAGAGGTCAAAATACAAAGTAGAATAGCCATTGACAATATATGCAATGTGGGAAAGAGGCTACCAGACATTGAGCCAGGGAGTGATGAAGGTTGACTTGGAGTTGGGACATTGGCGATGGCGACGAAATCAGAGAATGCTAGGCACCACCATACATACAGTCATGCCCTGGGAAAAGGTCGTGGAAGGTCACGGCAACCTCAATGTCAAGCCGGGGAGCAATGAATGTTGACCTGGGACATTGGCAATGAAATCAGCAGAGAATGCCAGGCACAACCATACATACAGTCATTCCCTGGGAAAAGGTTGTGGAAGGTCATGGCAACCTTGACGTCAAGCCAGGAAACAATGAATGTTGACCTGGGACATTGGCAATGAAATCGGCAGAGAACGCCAGGCACAACCATACATACAGTCATGCCCTGGGAGAAGGTCATGGAAGGTCGTTGTCGAGGACAAGAATGACAAGCTCAACAGTACAAACCGTTGAGCCTGTGAGTAAGAAAGGATAGTAAGGTCCATAAGTATTAAGGATAAGGATAAGGATAAAGAATAGTGAGTCAAGGACTTGTGACTTTGGCAACAAAAGGTCACAACAGTTACAAATATCCCAAATTTGGAAATTGTTACATAATAATATTCATGGTCAACAGATCACAGAAGGTCAGCAAGGACAACAGGCTTGACAGTAACAACAGTTGAGCCTGCTGGTGATGAAAGTAGAGAACGATGGATGGGCATGACTGTACATACAGTCATGCCCTGAGAGAAGGTTGTCAAAGGTCATTTTCGACGAGGAGAACGATAGGCTTGACAGTACATACCATTGAGCCTAGGAAAAGTAAGGAACTTGTAATAGTGATAAGGTTGTGATAAGGTCAACATTTCATAAGGATGAAGGACTTGGAACTTTGGCGATGAAAGAGCACAACAGTCACAAATAACATATTCCATATCTGGAAAAAAAAATTGTTACATAATATTGTTCTCAGCATTTCAAGCTTCAAACTTGAACTTATCACCTTCATCACTGCCAACTACGAGCTCGACGGTTTGTACTGTCGAGCTCATTGAGCTCATCATCCCCCATCCCCAGAGCACGACGGTATGTACTGTCGTGTCTCCTGCATGAGAATACCATCTACCTCGCCAATTCCATCCTTTTCGCTGATTGCGATCCTTTGCACCACCCAATGTCCTGTCAACTCCTCCACTTTTGCTGCCGACTGCGATCCTTTGGTTCACACTGTCAAGCTCATTGAGCTCATTGTTCTCCCATCCTTGGAGCATGATGGTATGTACTGTTGTGTCTCCTGCATGGGAGTACCATCCACCTCACCAATTCCATCCCCTTCGCTGATTGCGATCCTTTGGACCACCCCTTGTCAACTCCTCTGCTTTCGCTTTTGCTGCTGACTGCTACTTTGGTTCATGTTGGTCCATCCAACCTCTGAGCACGACAGCATGTACTGTCATGTCTCACTAAGTCTACTTGGTTCATTCGATATCATCCACCTTGCCAACTCCATTCCTTTTCGTTGATAGCAATCCTTTGGATCCAGTGCTTCTCTACCCATCTGAGGTCTGGAATCAATCCATCAACCCCTCCACTTTTACTGACTGCGATCCTTTAGATCACGCAGGTCCATCCATTCATCCTCTATGTCAGGCAAGCAATCCAACTGTTAACAAATCCAGCGGTCAACACCCATCATCCCCTCCACCGTACATACAGTGAAGGGGGCAATGGCTCATCATACATTCCTGCGGCGCACATTACTCACTCTGTCTATTCAACTCTACACACCACATATACTATGCTACCACAACTTTCATCCATCAGAACGTCTCATTTGAAATATCCAACCTCTCCACCTGACCCCCAGTGAGACCATCAAACCATTCACCATCATATAGGGCCTTCGGTAATTCAGTGACCAGGCTACATGCAGTCGTTGAATTACCAGGCGCACATATCCTTTTCATTGGTTTGGAACCCTGGGGCGCGAAAACATCATTGTCCAACACTCTGATAGTTGATGACATTCAGTTCTCACTCTATCCCGTGATGCCATGCCATCTTCTTGACCCAGAGTACACATTGTAGGTCGTTGCCCACATCGCTTTCTTCTGAACTCATGCCACCATCTCCCAGTGTCTTGATTAATGTTTCAAGCCACATCCAAGCTGGTAGGTCATCATCCTCATCATCCTTCTTCAGCTTGATAACATGCTGAAGAATTTTTGCTCTGCAGATATATTTCTGTGGATGCATTAGTATGTATCCGAAAGCCTCAAGAACGTGTTATGGACATACATTTTGTCGACGAGTTGTTTGACAAACCGACTTCAGATTTTCATCTCTCTTTGTGACCAACCTCTCCTCCACCTCTGCCACAGTCTCCAAGATGCCCTTTGCTGTGACCTTTGGTTGCGCTGCTCTCCAGGCCATCCGCAGCCACTTGTAGCGATCCTCAAGTATCGCTTTATAATAGCCATCCGACCTTCAGAACAGCCACTGCTCTTCCACATTCCTCTTTTGTAATTCTTTAACGAGCATATCAAGAATTTTCGCATTCCAAGGGGTGTTAGATCCATGTGTGAGATCGAAGATGAGGTCCTGGGTGTTGGGGCCTGGCCCATCTTCATACTTGTATGAGTACACATCTTCATGAATGGCTGGCTGATGCACGATAAAATCTGCATCTTGAGATATACTGAAGGTATCTTTGAGGAGACGCCGGACTTCACCCTGTTCCATGCTCAGTATAGGCACATAGGTCGAGTTTTAGCTCTCACAAGAAGGAAGTCTCTTTTGTGGCTCAATTCTGTGGCCTTTCCCATCTTAACTTCCTCATCCTGCACCTTTTTCCTTCGAGGACTACACTTTGTGGACATTGGGAAACCCTTATCAATGAAGATGCATCTGAGTGCCGCCTCTACACCTCTGGAGACCGCATTCTCCATTGCAGACATAGGGGAGGCATCATCTGGCTGAAATTGCGGTGGCTCTTGCTCAACCGTTGGTGATTGTTCTTGATGTGATTCCATAGGGTCATCGTCCTGCTATCACATGAGTTTAAAATGAGTTCGACTACATTTAGTACTTACCTCTGCAACAGATACCAGACACATCTTGTGTGTTGCTCCACGTGCCTTCCTGATCTTTTTATCGCCTCGAGGCATGGAGTTTTGAACTGTGGTTTCTGGGGCATTTTGGGTTGCTGTTGAGTGCTCCTGGGTCCATGTCCATTTCCATGGCTGCATGCTGTTGCCTACTGCATTTTGCAAATTGCTGCTCCATGTTAGCGAGTTTGCTCTCTTTTCTGCCCTCAGTTTTTCTAATTCTAGTCGCAGCTTTTGCTCCATCTCGGCAGAAATAGCTTTCTCATGTTCTTCTAACTGCTTGACATCATTAGCAATTTCCCTGGTTGGTTGTTCTTCCCCACCTCTTGTTTTTTTCTTTTACTTAATTCTGCTTCGCATCGTGCCAGTTCTTCAGCAAGATGACAATGTTCCTCAGTGCGTTCTTCTAACTGCTTGACATCAGTAGCAATTCCCATAGTCAGTTACTTTCTCACCTCTTGGTTTTTTATTATGCTTAATTCTGCTTCGCATCATGCCAGTTCTTCAGCTAGCTGCTCAACATCATCAGCAATTCCCCTGGTTGGTCGTTCTCTCTCACCTCTTGGTTTTTTCTTGCACTTATTTCTGCTTCACATGGTGCCAGTTCTTCAGTTAGCTGCTCGACATCATCAGCAATTCCCTTGGTCGGTTGTTCTTTCTCACCTCTTTGTCTTTTCTTGCACTTATTTCTGCTTCGCGCCATGCCATTTCTTCAGTGATGTTCTTCAGTTGTGCTTCCCGTGCGTGATTTTCCTATCAGATTGTAGGCATACATCTGACTGAAGTGTCTGTTGCACTTACTTGCTTCTCCCACTCTTTCAGGGCCACTTCCCATTGCTGAGTCTTCTTGTTGATATCCTGTATGTGGCGCTCATGCTCTTCGTCTGCAAGACAGTCATTGCTCCTTGATGCTGTCTTGAGCTTCTTGGCGTATCTGCTGGTATGATTAGCAGTGACATATATTCATGAGTTTCTCATGTGTACTACTTCTGTTTCATGCATAACATGATTGATCCGCTCTTGTTGTTCATACACAGTCTGGCGAAGTGAGGTGTCTGCGAATAGTCGACTTCATGAAAGCAATGCTTTTCAGACACCTGGATGGGCACTATGAGTCATGGAAGTTGATTTGTGCTATTTGAATGTACCACTTCATCTCTGGCCCTCTTGTCAATTCGAACCACACTGGTGGGAGGCTGACTGAGAGCATCCATAAAGTTACCAGCACCACTCTCATCATTGTCTTCATTGTCTTCGAATAAATCCGCATCATGAGATGTTTGTACACCTTCTGGCTCAAGGTGAGGGCACTGCATGTCAATGTCGTCATCGACACTCATAGCGGTGTAAGAATTCATTGTTAGGTTGCAAAATGGAATGGCATATTCCTGAGCCTTCTTAAGTCATGCTAGTGTTTATGTGTTTATTCTTCTAGTTGTCTTATTATGAACAACAAGCCATCTTGCCCATCACCATCACTTTCAATTATCTTGTTGCTCAATTCCCCTGTACAATTACCTTGTACAATTACCCTTAGCGACTAGCGGTGCAACAGGAGTAAGATTAACATTACAGATTCTTATTGTCATCCTTCATTACAGATTTGGTTTGGCTCCCTGCTGTTTCCGGCAACTATGTCCCCTGAATAGACATCTAATATGGTTATTGTCTTTGGTTTAGCACGTCAAGTTTAAACGCTGGACCATTACTACCGCCTGCCTCCATTGCCTGCTTTCATTGCCCGCTTTCATTACCCACCTTCATCGCCTATGTCTTACATTCTTGTCTTGATTGAAATATAATCAGCATGGTGAACACTTGCACGTATATCCTTCCGACATCTTTTGTAAGTTATCAGCCACTTGCTCACACCCTTTTTTTGACCTTCAAATCAGACCCCAGAATTTCACCTGCAGTGCAGGCTATATTCGACATCATGGACCAGACCCCATCAGGTCACTATGTTGACATGGTGCTCTGGTCACTCATGTACTGCTCAGCACTTTCCTGTTCCTGAAAGTCTCTTCGAGGAGGCCACCATGCAGCCTTATGTCCACAACTGTTTCGTGACTGTGCGCAAAGGGAGACACATCTATCAATTTTGCATATTCTTCAAATGGCATCTTCATCTTAGAGCCAATGTGCTTCTTAGCAGTGAGGCGATGCAGTTGTTATGAGGATTGGTGTCAACAATCCCTCCGTTGTGAACATGCGAGGCAGAGATAATGTGCTCGCCGACTTCATAATTCACCAGTGAGTAATAGTAAACAATTTATTGAGCGTAACTTAACTATCTCTTTCAGCTTTGCACAGAGGATAAGTGGTCATCCAAGAGCTAGGCTCCCATGCAATCTTGCTCTTGTAAAACCCTTGAGCACTCGTAACAATTGCCGATTGGCTGTGAGGTGTGGAGTAGCATAATTTTCTGGACCACAAATGCATTAGAATATATTCTTACATTATTACCAGAATTTCTCAGCTGGACTGTGAACATATTATTATTGGAAGTTTCAAGCTAAGGGTGCGCAAAACTTCTATTGCTTGATCTTTGCGTTCACTCACATCTATTCCAGGGTGCACAAAACTTCTCTATCGGTCAGGGATCTTCCAGTGCTCAATTTGTATTCGCCCTTGCTTGCATCAGCCTGTCTGGTATCTATACCAGAAGTCAATGGATATGCTCGATTTTGGAATGCAAACTTAATATAGAATGCATACAGTGGTAAAGGATGGGGATATCTAGTGCTGCGGGGGTATCACTTCTTGCTCTTGCTCTTGCGTACAGTCATTTCTCCCTCCTTTCATCTAGCGTGACCTGATGTGTATTTCAGGCGTGTCATAATCATATTGTTGACTAGCCATAAGTTGCTATAATTTTCAAGGTCTGGGAAGCCAACGAGAGCCTGAGATGTCATAAGTTCATTGACAATAACGAGACCGATAGCTGTTCACCTTGTCGCGCACAACTTTCAACAGCGTGGGACTTTGGGCAGAAGCGCATTTTGTCGTGTCAAGGTGGTCCTCAATGAAGTTATGCATATTTTTCTTATGGATTCATGAGTTACTTTGCAATGCTGAGGGTACAACACTTAGCAAACCTTGAATTTTGCATACACCTTTGGATTCCAATCCAAAGCTTCATAAAGTGTGTACCCCCCATGCCCAGGGTGCCCAAATTCACCGGCAGGTTTAGGAATCTTCAAGTCTTCCAACAAACTCACGCTCGAAGTTGAGGAGTCACTATCTGACAAAGAATCCAAAGAGCCTGCAGAATCTGAGGCCAAAGGCATTTGAGAACAGGAACACGGGAATGCAACCTTCTTTATGTATGGTGAGGAAGAGTGATCAGATTGCTTGAGCATCCACTTTGCGAGTTTGAACTCAGGGGCAGGTGTGGATGATGATGCCCTTGCAGCGGGAATGATACTAGCTTTAGGGACTAGGACTTCGTCGGCAATAAGTGTAGTTGGGTGATGATCAACATGGACAAACAACTCCAGCTGGTCCGTGAGCATTGGGGGAAAGGGCAGTGGTGCACCAGTCTCCGAGTAATAGAAAGGAGGAACAACTGTAGTATTGCACATGATAGATAGAGTGATAGATAGAGAAAGAGCTGAATAGCTACGCTGAACTTAAGGGATGGTTCAAGGGGAAGCAAAAGCACTCAACAGACTACCATATTGGGCGAAAACAATAAGGGCTACACAAATGGTAACCATCAAAGATCATGAACTATTATGCAGAATAGAACTTATTAATTAAGGGGAACATCGACGTATCTCAAGAGAAGAATAGAACTGTACAAATGGTGTTGGCATCAACAAAGACTATAAAAGTTACCATGGAATCAAAAACAGATCCGGGAATGATACAAAAGTATTTGATAACAAATGCGCAATGCTAATAAATACGCTGTGAGCAGGCGACTACAGCAGATCAAATTACAATGTCTTTCCTTGCTACATTTTTCAACAAATCAGTGCAGCCACAGTGTTACAAGCTGCTCGCTCGTCTAACTACCTACAGTGGGTCTGTCTATGCACTTGTGATCTCTAATGATGGGGACCTGTGTGGAAATCACAACCTGACTAGATACCTGTAAAAGTACTTAGCCAGTATATGTGGTCGTAGCTCTGCCTAGCTGCTTCACTTGCAAGCAAGAGTGTTCGACCCTAAAGGGGTCTGCTGTCTAGTTAAGTTGAAATATGTCAGTACCACACAAGGAATAGAACCCGAAGATAGAAAGTTCGAGTCTGAAGGTAGGAGATGAAGTCCGACGTAGGAGATACCGAGTCCAACGTTTCGGGGATTGGGGAGGACAGGAAAGCAAGGGAAAGGCAAGCAAAGGTGCGGGGTTAGGATTGGAAACACAAGGGAATGTTTAGGAATAGTGAGCGACTGAAGTTCAGATTGTAAGGAGAGGAAATCAGATAGATTCAGCAGGTATGTATAGGGGATAAGGACTAAGTGAGGTGACCTAGTATCAGGGAATTTCTCCCATCTACAGAGTGGTAATGTACGATCTCCTACTGAGTCCTATTTAACTAGCTACGTGAAAGTCCGGAGTACTGTAGGTGAAAGTAGTAGCGCATCATCAGGTCCGAAGAAATATGTAAAAGGCCATGAGGTGCTGTGGCCAGTGGGAATCCATGTAATAGCGCTGTCTACTGCATCAGTAATAAGGAAATAGATGACTACGCACCTAGTGGGGTTAAGCACAACGGGACTGGACATAGGTAGGACGAGTCTGCAGGATATCTGAGCGGGTCCGATCATCGGGTTGCGTCGGGGATGTCGGGTTGCATCGGGGATGACTAGGGGTGAGTCGGACAACATGGGGTATGGATGCAAATTGCATAGTGGCTTCATACAAGCCCAGCAGAAATATGATTGTCACACCTGCTTGCATGCGGTGGTGAGAAAGCGGACACTCAGCCATAGACAGTGCTAACACACAAGCAGGTACTGAGGGCATCAAACTCTGGGATATCAAATCTCAGAAAGAACTCACATCATTGTCTCATCACCATGGATCCTGGGGAACAGTCAGTTGTGCAATCTGGACCATGACCAGGAAAACCACGGCAGAAACCCTCTGTTATGGACAGGCCTGGGTTACATCATATTTTTGCGACGCAGTCTCACAAATGTAAGTGCCCAGGGTTCCCACTCAACTGACCATTGACATCAGCAGAAAACATTCCAGGAGATTTGCACCAGGAGACTTGGATCAGGTTTTGAGATTACATGCTTGTCCTGGCATTCAACTTCCTCCAAAAGCAACCTACAGATTGCAGTGGGAACAAGAGACAAAATGGTTCAGGTTCTGACACTCAACGCAAGCTTGCAGCTCCAGTCCGTCTTCGCAGTGCAACTTGAAAATACGGTACCCAAGTCTGTAGCATTCACAGATAACCAAGACATCTATGTCTTCAGGCTCTATGATGGCAACTTGTCAGTCCCTCCACTGCAAAATTTTTATCGCCTCATACTAAGCACCGAACAGCATGAAACTGAAGGATGAAGATGGTGGCATAGTGCAGGAAATTAGCTGCAAATCAGTGTTGTGAGGACCATCACTCTCAACCCGCGCGTTGCTGACATTATCCAGTGGTCATGCTGCAGTGCACTCAAAGCAGGGCGTTTTCATCGTAGATAATGCGACAGACAGCTTTACATTGTATCGCCTTGAAGGCAATGGTGAGCCTGTGTGAATGTTTGCAACTGCTGTGCCACACATGTCGGTCCCCAAGCAAGTGGCATTTGGGGAAGAAGGCAAGGTAGTTGTGGGGGGAAGTGACAATGGATTGGGCAGATAATCGAAACCCTCCAGCACGCAGATACAGACGCTGGCCTTGTGCAAACAATATCCGTAAGCATTAAGACTGGTTGGAAAGAATGTCACTCAACTGGTTTAGATGCGTGATCTCCATGGCTGCTGCACAATTGCCAGCACTTCAACTGTGCTAGGGCATGGGAAAACCACAATCAAGATATGGGCATACGAGTATGCAGTACAGAAGGTATCCAAGGCGCCTTCAGAGAATTACTGGTCCCTGTTGTGCATACTGATGATGCTGACACAACTACTGGCACTGCTATCCATGAGCGTATTCCTCCTAGTAAACTATAAAGATAGCCTTTTGGTAAGTCAGCCATTTGGTCAGCAGCAATTTAACTAACACACCTCTAGGACAGCGCAGTAAACCATGTGCATGGGTACATGACTTTGGCAATGATGATTAATGTGGCCAACAACTTTTCACAACATGTAAAAGTGGCCATGATGTTTGATGAGTACGTCAATATCGAGAAGGAAAGTCCGACCAAAGGATACATCAAAAATGATATCAGGATGCTCCAGGAATTAGCAGACAAGCTCATTGAGTTAGCTCAAGAAGCGGGTGGGGAGATCAATGAAGATGAACATTGAGATGAGAACAACGGCAATACTGATCATCTGCAAGCAGTGACAGGAGATGAACAGAGGAAGGACCTAGTTCTTATCCAGTAGAAGGTAGCACGCCAATTGAACATAGACATAGTCCACCGGATTGCGCACAGGAATGTATGATGAGCCATTGACCCCTTCACTGTATGTACAGTGGAGGGGATGACAGTTGGCAAAAGCGGAGGAGTTGACAAGGGGTGGTCCAAAGGATCGCAATCAGCGAAGGGGATGGAATTGGTGAGGTGGATGGTACTCCCATGCAGGAGACACAACAGTACATACCATCATGCTCCAAGGATGGGAGAACAATGAGCTCAATGAGCTTGACAGTGTGAACCAAAGGATCGCAGTCGGCAGCAAAAGTGGAGGAGTTGACAGGACATTGGGTGGTGCAAAGGATCGCAATCAGCGAAAAGGATGGAATTGGCGAGGTAGATGGTATTCTCATGCAGGAGACACGACAGTACATACCGTCGTGCTCTGGGGATGGGGGATGATGAGCTCAATGAGCTCGACAGTACAAACCGTCGAGCTCGTAGTTGGCAGTGATGAAGGTGATAAGTTCAAGTTTGAAGCTTGAAATGCTGAGAACAATATTATGTAACAATTTTTTTTTCCAGATATGGAATATGTTATTTGTGACTGTTGTGCTCTTTCATCGCCAAAGTTCCAAGTCCTTCATCCTTATGAAATGTTGACCTTATCACAACCTTATCACTATTACAAGTTCCTTACTTTTCCTAGGCTCAATGGTATGTACTGTCAAGCCTATCGTTCTCCTCGTCGAAAATGACCTTTGACAACCTTCTCTCAGGGCATGACTGTATGTACAGTCATGCCCATCCATCGTTCTCTACTTTCATCACCAGCAGGCTCAACTGTTGTTACTGTCAAGCCTGTTGTCCTTGCTGACCTTCTGTGATCTGTTGACCATGAATATTATTATGTAACAATTTCCAAATTTGGGATATTTGTAACTGTTGTGACCTTTGTTGCCAAAGTCACAAGTCCTTGACTCACTATTCTTTATCCTTATCCTTATCCTTAATACTTATGGACCTTACTATCCTTTCTTACTCACAGGCTCAACGGTTTGTACTGTTGAGCTTGTCATTCTTGTCCTCGACAACGACCTTCCATGACCTTCTCCCAGGGCATGACTGTATGTATGGTTGTGCCTGGCGTTCTCTGCCGATTTCATTGCCAATGTCCCAGGTCAACATTCATTGTTTCCTGGCTTGACGTCAAGGTTGCCATGACCTTCCACAACCTTTTCCCAGGGAATGACTGTATGTATGGTTGTGCCTGGCATTCTCTGCTGATTTCATTGCCAATGTCCCAGGTCAACATTCATTGCTCCCCGGCTTGACATTGAGGTTGCCGTGACCTTCCACGACCTTTTCCCAGGGCATGACTGTATGTATGGTGGTGCCTAGCATTCTCTGATTTCGTCGCCATCGCCAATGTCCCAACTCCAAGTCAACCTTCATCACTCCCCTGGCTCAATGTCTGGTAGCCTCTTTCCCACATTGCATATATTGTCAATGGCTATTCTACTTTGTATTTTGACCTCTGTTGACATGACACTTAGTTATTGACTATGGGTTTAACATTCTTTCCCTGGACTCCCATACTAGGAGCCTTTGTTGCATATTGATCATAGGACTGCCTATCGCAGAAATAACTTGTAAACTGCACCGGCCGATGAAGTGAGTCATTATGTTTTTTCTCTTCTTATATTGATCATGGGTTTAACATCCTTTGCTTGTTCTCCCCTCACCGCATAATTAATCATAGGTTTAACATCCTTGCCCTCGTCTTTCATGGAACCGCCTATCACAGAAACAACTTGGGCAGAAACTGCACCGAAGGTGTGTCATTATGATATTTTCTTTTACTTTTCTTACATTTATCATGGGCTCAACATCCTTGCCCTTGTCTTTTATGGAACTGCCTATTGCAGAAACAACTTGGGTGGAAACTGCACCAAAGGTGCGTCATTATGATATTTCCCCTTACTTTTCTCATATTGATCATGGGTTAAACATCCTTAGGCACAAAAACTGCACCAAGAAGTTGTTCTGATGTTTTCCTTTCTTACTTAAAATTGGTCAGTCCTTCAGTACTACATACACCTATACCTCATTTTCTCTCCATCATCAGTGTCTTACTCCATAATGCCATCCACACCCTACTAACAACCATAATATATTTCCTTGTTTGGGTATTCTTATATTGAACATCATTTTACCGCTGTTGTGGTTGTGTCTTAAAGCTTACCCCTACCACTGTTTTTGTTTTAGTCCATGTCTCAAGCCACACCTGTGGTCGTGTCTCACTTAAAGTGTACCCCTACCACTGTTTTCTGTTTTGTTTTAGTCCACGTCTCAAGCCACACCTGTGTTAAGACCGTGCTCAAGGGTAGACGGGATCTGAAGGGCTTGGCCTCAGCTCATACACTGTGCCCCTTACCCAAGTATGGTGCCCTTGATTTCAGATGAAGTCCGATGATGGTCCGACGAAGTCCGAAGGACTTCCAGAGGCTGGCTACTCTAGTAGAGTGCTAGAGGACTTCCAGAGGAGTGTGGGAAACATCCAGAGGAAGGCGGGAGAGTTCCAGAGGAGTACAGGAAAGTCCGGAGGAGTGTGGGAAACATCCAGAGGAAGGCGGGAGAGTTCCAGAGGAGTACAGGAAAGTCCGGAGGAGTTTCCACTGCACAGAAGTAGAGAGACCCTAAGGCATTGCCTCTAGAGGAAACAGAATGGAAGGGGGACTGCAAGGGACAAAGTCCAAAGCAGGATAGAGTGGAACTACATCAGGAGGATAGATTCAGAGGTCCGAAGGTCAGGAGGACCAAAGGTACGAAGGTCAAGAGGACCAAAGGTATGAAGGTCAGGAGGTCTGGAGGTCCGAAGGTACGTAGGACAGGACATAGTTCTGGGGTACGGAGTATGGATAGGGGCTACATTGGACGCAGTCCGAAGTAGAAGCAAACAGAGAAGGACTACACTAGGTAGAGTCGGAGGGACAGGGATTAGATGAAAGTCTTGGAAAGACAGGAAGTGCCGGAAAGGCAAACTTCGGCTTAGGGAATCAATCCCCAAGCATGGATGGAGACAGAAGGATAAATTTGGAGGACCAGAAAGTTGGCCTAGGGAATCCTTGCCTAGGCCTAAGAAAAGGTCAGACTAAGATGGACCGAAGTCCGAGAGCAGAATGAGTGAAGTCTAAGATGATATTTGAACTAAGGAACTCTAGCAGTTGTACAAGGGTTTATATACTGGAGGACATATGAAAGGATCAGTAAGCAGAGGGACTAAGGCTATGTACGAGCATGTGGAAACACATTAGTAAGTGAGTCGGAACATAAGTAAATGAACTCAGAGATGAAGTATGCACAAGGATCAATCAGCAAGACGGAAGTACAGATAACCGAAGTCCGGAGTCAAGGGGATTACCATAAGGGGATAGACACTGATTTAAGGTTCTGGGTTCAGGGATGGATACAGATGATATCCAGAGACCTGGATATGAAGGTATGAATCCGGACATCGGATCAGGCATCTGGATATTGGATGTGCGAAGGTAAATGGATCTGGGCCGATAGTGGACTGGAAGTCTGGGGGCATGGATAAGGGTATGGAGGTCCGGATGCATGTCCGGAAGGCATGGGAATGTTATCGGATGTAGGCCCAGAACATGGGAGTATTGATATGTGGAAGTACAGGGGTGCATGGATGAGGATATGCGGATGTGTGCATGTGCAGGGGTGCAGGGATCCAGACAGATAAAGGATCAGAGGTCTGGAGGCTTGGACAGGGGGTATGGAGGTCCGGATGTGCGTCCGGAAGGCATGGGAATATCATGGGATTTAGGTCCATGGCATGGGATATGACAACCTGTGATCTTCTGTCATTGTTGCCACTGATATGGTAATCACTCATTGAAACTCCACAACTACTATATAGATGTCCCTTCTTGCTTCTCTAACATCTCTCATCCAACCCCCTAACGTAACAGTTTGTACTGTTGTGGTAGCACTTCAATCTACTCTACTCTCAACCCTAACGTAACAGTTTGTACTGTTGCGGTAGTCTACATCTCTATGCTTCCATGAGTAATGATCTCCATGTCTTTGTGCATGATTGGCAGGTCTATACCTCTCCCACTGCACACTTGCTTCCCGATGTCATTCCTTATGAGCCTCTTTGGGACCCTCGCGAAGACCACAATTCTTCTCCCGATGATACTGATAGGCCGCTCTCTACATGTTGGGTGTACGGAGCTTGTCTGTGGTTTCCTCTTATACCTTTGAATCCTACCTTCGATGGGCCAATCTTTGGATGGCTCAATCACTCCAGGTTCTCACTCCTCATGGAGGTGGATTCACAGGGAAAGCACGTTCTCCACCACGATATTCGGGAAAAATGGGTCGCCTTAGAGCAGAAATTGCTCTGGTGCCAGGAACATTTGGGTGCTGGGCTGCTCATTCCATGAGGGACTAAACTTCCACGCGCTCTGACTGCCTATGGCTACCAACAGTCACATACAGACACGAACCTTGCAAAAAAGGTCGCAATGAGGTTGTGGAACACATTTCTATGCACGGTAACCATATGTTCATTTCACTGTGATTGCCTGACATATTTCTAGTAATCGCCGCTACCCGCTCATGGTACATCATGACTCATCGACACCACAGTTCCAATTGTCCCTGGACAGCTATCTTAACGAATGGCCCCAAGTATCCCATACCTGCTGAATGGGTTCTTGAGTTGTCCCGCTCATTCGTTGGAGATCTCACAATAGGCGTGCCACGTACAGGAGCCTTCATTTCTTCCAATCAGTGCCCTTGGCAAGTTCAATTGCCCATTTTTGAGAAGTTCTCAATCCCGATTTGGGTTTGCTTTTCCCAAAATGTGTCTACTGTTGATTCCAGCTTGCGTCATTATATCCCATCTCAGGGAGCTATCACCCGTGCGACCGAGTCAGTCCAACGGGGTCAGCTAGATGACAGTTCGTGGGGTCAGCAGGATGACAGTACATGGGGTCAACCGGTCAACAACGGTCAGCGCACCCTTGGATGGGACAGTAGTGTACTTGGATGGGGTCAAGCCAGTGGAGAGCAGCCCATATCCGATATTCCTGAAGTCCATGTAAACTCTCTATTTCCAATCCCCCAACCCCACTCTGGACGAAAGCAAGGAGAAGATTGGAAGGCATTCTTTGCATGGTGCTGTGAGGAGAATAAGAAAAAAGAGGAGAAAGAGACACCAGCTCGACGTCAGTCCCGTCAGAGCCGCGAGTCTGCAGCAATGAGCCACAGCATTCCTGGCAAATCTAGCACAGTCGTGGTGTTCTAATGGCAACCTGATGACGAGTTTGGCGGCTTTCTTCAATGCATCCATCTCACAAAGGCTGAGGTACCGACGACTTGTATGTCATATAACAAATCTACCCGGGTATACGACTCATTTTGTAATGAGTGGGACTCATGTGATGCATTGGATCTTGTGAGCATTCCTGATGGCAACTGGGAAGAAGATAATTTTCCGCCTGCCTCTCCCCCTGCTTCTTCTGAACCCACCCCACCACCCCCACTGTCCAGTTTCTTACAGGACATTGAAACCTACTTCAGTTGTTATGAAGTTGCGCCCTCAGCGCAATATACTCGAATTGTTGAGCAATTTGTCTCAATTTTACATTTTCATCTCGGATATTGACTTGCAGCATCTACCACTACACCCCGAGGCAGATCCACCACATTCGATAATTGGAGTCGCAAGACACAATGGGCTCACTTATGCAAACTCGTTGGCGATGACCCCGTGAATATTGCCTCAATTCCAGAGGCACAGAAGCATGTTATCACATGTTTCATAGGTTACCTCGTCACCCTTCCCAAATTTCATTTGTCAGACGTCCCGCCCGATCTCTGGGATCTGAGACCTGACCCCCCCCTGTTGATTTCGAACGCTCACATTCGAGTCTCCTATGTACAGCAACTGGAGCAGTGGCTCTACATAATCAAGCCACATCTGTCTTTAAGTCTGGTGCCATGGAAATTGGCAGTTACTGGCAGCTACCATGGCCATGATGTGCCTCCGGCGTTACTGGGGCTCGGATATAACAGTGATCGCATGCAACCTCCTTGAAAAAGGAATCGCCATAAAGACATTGCTACCAATGTCAGTTCCACCTCATGCACAACGCCCACTTATGGAAATCCGTACATACTCCCTCAGACACGTCCTCCCCCACAATAATCACAGGCTTCCCCGTTTCAGGCCTGTTTATGCCGACTACATCGTGTATGAGCAACACTGTCACAAGTTCATGAACCAGCCTCGCGCAAGAGCAGCCCTTCTTCATGGTGGGCTCATATGGTGGCTGGCTTTACACAGTTTTGAGTTCAATGTTCTCCCCTCCATTCTCGACAGTATTTCACGGGAAGCAGCACCATTTGGCTTCATGCTGGACATTAATGGCCAGACTTATTTGATGATGAGCTGTCGGACGAGGAGGTAGATTTCATGTGTGGGACATATTATGTGCATAACAGTAATTCAAGTTTCTCTTACTCGCATCAACAGTGGCGCTTATGTTTTAATTTTTAGATGACGGGAATGTGGAAATTGTCTCTTGGTGGCCTAGACCCCAGGCGTGGGCTGCCTCAGGGCTGAATGTGGGGTTCTGGTCCAGTCGATGTGAATCTTGGTTCTAGTCACGCCTGGACAACATTTGACAGGGCATTTCATGAGAGCGGCATAAATCCACTAATGATGCTAACAGTCCAATGACTGGTAAACAGTAGAAAGGCTCACTCAAGTTCAACCCACTTTGGTCACCCAATTTTAGATACCTCTTAGGTTGATTGTTGTATATAGAGGTTTGCACCTAAGAGGTATGTTTCTGCTGGTCTCTCCAGTGTTCCATGGTCCTTCCCTATTGTTTTTGTGGACCAAAAGAGAATGTGCTGCACATGGACCATAGACCGTTGGGACCATGTCATGGCACGTACCACAGGGTATTTTGGACCACATATCTAATGGATTTCCCTGGATATATAGGAGTGTCTGGGGTCACAAACCACCTAAATGTTCGATTTTTTGCAGTAATTTTCTGTTGATTCTGATGGTGAATAGCATTAGACTACAATGAATGTTTGTGTTATATCTACCGTATAGAATCATATAATGGCTGAATTTGTGGATGCAATTGTACATTGCCCAATTTAGTGTCTTGCTAGGAAGACACCTGTACATTCCGAAGTCTGGTAGTATTTGTGGTTGTATCTGTTTAGTTCTACTACTTCACACTATGATTGTATTACCATATTCGTCTATGTGTTACTGGCATACCTGGACCTACCTTCCTTATCTGTCACTCAGCCGAGCCTCTTTGACCGGTTTACACCCTATGTCTGCACATGTCCTGTCGATTTGCACGTAATAATGTGGTATAGTTGTTACATACTTTCGCTGCAGGGATGCTGGTTGAATTTTTACAGATGCATATCCCCATGCACCTACACTTGCTACTGACCTCACCTGTACATTCCGGAGTTTTACGTAGTACAATAAAAAAAAGCTACAGAGTTGATAGCTAGGATGCTTCCTACCTTGGACCTTGGTAGTGGTCGCCTAGTTTTTCAAAATTTTGCGCAATCAGTACCTTTGTTGATACTCACTTTTGACTGTTGGCTACATGATCACTCTAAATCCCGTGAATAACTTACCTTTGTCAGACCCCTACCAAAAGTGCTGAACCATGGTACTTGTGACTTCTACCATACCTTTGCCTAGGCGATTTTGCCCATCCTACTTACCTTTGCCTGGATGCCAGGTTTACCAGTAGTATCTTCGGTCATGATCCCATGGTAGAAGACTGCAAAGACAATATAGCCTACATAGGGCAGACCGCAACAATGCTACAGACTAATTAGGGAGGACCATATGTCCCATAGGGCAGACCGCAAAGACAATTCAGCCTGCGTAGGGCGGACCGCAACAACACTATAGACTAATTAGGGAGGACCATATGTCCTATAGGGCAGACCGCAAAGACAATATAGCCTATGTCGGGCGGACCATATGTCATGTAGGGTGGACCACAACAACATGATAGACTAACTAGGGTGAACCATATGTAATATAGGGCAGACCCACAACAACATGATCAGAATGCTGTACGGTACGAATCTATGATGTCGGTCCAATACCCAACATACAAGTTACAGGGACAAGATAACCCACACCTTTATTATACACCTTTTCGCTTTTCCAGATGACCCCCCCTCCCTATGTCAGTCCAGTATCCTCGCCAAGAACAAATAGATGATGATCGGAATGCGGTATGGTATTAATCTATGATGACGGTCCAGTACCTCCACCAAGGAAAATTGATGAATTGCGCAAAATGCCTCTTATTACAGACCCCCCCCTCCCTATGTCAGTCAGTACCCCCGCCAAGAAAAATTGATCAAGATTGGAATGCTGTACAGTACGAATCTATGATGACGGTCCAGTACCCCCTCCAAGCATGATTGGAATGCTGTACGGTACGAATCTATGATGTTTGTCCAGTACCCCCACCAAGAAAAAATTGATAAATTGCGCAGAATGCCCCTTATTACAGAGCCCCCCCTCCCTATGTCAGTCAGTACCCCTGCCAAGAAAAATCAATGAAGATTGGAATGGTGTACAGTATGAATCTATGATGACAGTCCAGTACCCCCACCAAGAATGATCGGAATGCTGTACGGTTAGAATCTATGATGACAGTCCAGTCCTCCCACCAAGAAAAAATTGATGATGATTGGAATGCTGTATGGTACGAATCTATGATGTTGGTCCAGTACCCTTGCCAAGAAAAAATTGATGAATTGCACAAAATGGTATGTGAATTCTTTCTGTCTGTCATATGCACACATGTGTTAATGAATATCTTAACAAATTTAACAAATGGGATGTGACAGAAAATATCTTATTAAATAAATAGGATATTACAGAAAATATTGTATTGAAACACTGCATTCTACATGTTGCGCCGCTTGTGTAACGATTTTATAGGGGAAGAAGGCATGAAGTCATTATCAATGTCATCCAAGTCATCCAGGTCATCCACGAGCTCCTTATTCTGGTCATACCTATATTCATCTGCCAATGCAATCTCCTCAATAGCATCCATCAGTTCCTCATCTTCAATTTCGCCATACTCCAGGTCACTCTCTCCATCACCCTCTCTATCTCCTTCCAAACTCTCATCATCATCATCCTCATCCCAAAACGATGATCGTGCCTGACTAAAAGCGGCTTGAACCAAAGCCTCGTCTGAGGGTCCCCAACTCGCAATCATAGGCCACACGCACGGAATACACTGAACCTTTTTCCTCCAGATGACGCAGATGTTGACAAGTTCATCTGCGCGAGACCCAAGGTGGAAAGACATCACTGGATCTGCGACTGTGAAATAATTAGATACTGTTCATAACATTTGCACACTGACGCACCTGCTTTATTCAAGGCAGTTTGCGTACTGTCCCACTCTGCTAACATCCATTCTTGAAGGACGGCCCTCTCCCACATCAGTCAAGCCTCCTCCTCATTGCACCGGTCAGCTTCAAGTTGCAACCGGATACCATTCCTGACCTTGTCATACAAATCCACAAGTTGTGCTTATTGGTATACACTCATTTCAATCTATTGAAACCCCCCCCCCTTTCAACAGACTAATCCAACTAGAATTCCTTCAGTTCTATCAGGAAGACACCATGTGCAATTTTTCCTGAAGAACAAGTATATGGTTTACCTCAGTACTATACATTTTCTGGACAAGTCTGTAGCAATCCTATGCAAACCTATTCAGGACCCGGACCTTGGCAACTCGTGTAGATAATTTCAACCAGTGTGAGTCACTCTCACGTGACATTCAATGCTTTCGCATGAGGTCTACCTTACTACATTTTCACTCGGTCAATGAATACATGTGTCATGTAGCTACATGTAGCTCGAATGTACTTCATTGGTCACGTGATTCAAGAGTATGTAGCTGAAACTAGAGAAGTACGAGTCAGCGGAGTCACAAGACATAGACAGATTGATATTGAAGGTTATAATGTTGCATGAGTGCAGACATAATGTTGAAGAATATAACTGTGTGTGTGATTTCACACACAGTATTCTTCTTCAACATCAGGTAAGTCTCGACAATTGTGATGTAACATAGACGACAAAACACAAACCATGAGTCATAGATTAGAAAAGCATGTTTGCATAGGCATAAGAATTTTAACATGAGTCACATAAGTCACGACAAGCAAAGTATCATAGTTGAAATCAGAGTCGAGATTAGAGAGGCAGTTATAAAAGCTGTAAACGTCAGTTATACTCAAATTCATGCTCATCTACAGGAGCAAGTAAACGGCGATCCAAGACATGAGCAGGCCGAACACGTGAGGCATATTGGCGCGAAGACGGAGAGCCCTCAGAGTAGGGCACAACTGCCGAACGAGATGGCAAGTGCGTAGTGTTTTGGTTCGGAGGTCCCATGCGTGCCTTTGATGTAGCGCGAACATGTGGCTTAGGATGGCTAAGGAAAGAACAATAATTGATACAATTAGCACCGTAATATATAATGACAATTGAATAGTAACGTACTGATGACCAAGAGTAGACCTTTGATCCATGCTTGTCCTGTCCTGCGATTCGAAAGGTATGCTGAGAAAATAAAATAAAATAAAGATGTAGACGATGTACACACATCCTGGCCCATTGCCTATCATCCACCATGGCAGTCTCGATGTCGTCGGCCTCACTGATAGTTTCGTAATCACCACGAGATCATTTCCAATTGTCAGACGTAGAGGCAATAGAATGGCGGATGTCTTCACGCAGACGGGTGTACTGGGATCGACCATGGGCTGCATTTGAACCTCGAGGCGTAGCAGGCGAAAAAGGAGAAGATGGTGGGAGATCGTCATAGTCGCCTGGGAGGTCACTGTTGTCAGCGAAATCATCATAGTCCGTGTGCCTAGGGACAAATTGGTTGGAGCGCGGAGCCCCAGAAGTGGAGCGCAAAGCCCCAGCGGCAGAGCGCAAAGCCTCTTGGTTTGAGCGCATAGCCCCTTGGTTTGAGCGCGGAGCCCCAAGGTGAGAGCACGGAGCCCCTGAGTTGGCGCGTGGAACCATACCACGTGTACAAAAAACCTGCTGGTAATAAGTATAAAGATCTTCAGTTGAATCATAAATTTACCAAGTTAGGACGCAAAGCCTCAGAGCCCGAATGCTCTGCACTTGCATCTGAGGTCGGAGTTTCTGCACGAATCATCTTGCCTATTTGCTTGTGAGTAACATGGGGAGGGAGGTCCTTAATGAATTTCTCTGAATCTTTGAGACGACGTAAGATGACACCATCTGTATTGATGACAAGAGGGATTTCGAACACGTCACCAGTGTATGAGGTGAGGTCTTGCAACTGAACTGTAGTTTGAAGATATTAATTAGTGGCTGTTTCAAATACAGGAAAATGGGAAAACGCGTGAGGACTCCAACCCTGGATAGATAAGAGAACATCCGGCACCTCCACAACCACACCCTTTGTTCGTCGATGCTCATTAGACTTCTTGGACTTGCCTTTCCGCTTAGCCATCTTGCCTTTCTCTGCATCGCTATCATCCTCATCCTCATCTTGGCCCAACTCAGCCTCATACATCTCACCAAGATGAATCCTCAAATATGGACCCACCAGGGCGCATAACTGACTTGCGGATAGCACTTTGAGGTCAAAATCAGTGCCAGGGGGTGGAACTCCAGCGGGCCAGTCATGGATGCACAACCTTGTCGAGTACAGGACATCAAGCATTGTCATCCATCTACTATTGGAAGTCTTTAGTGCATGACCGGCTTCAGCTATTAGCAAAATGTGAGTACAATGACAGTACGATCAGGTGAGAGATACCAACCGAATGCTTCGCTGATGACCACAGGTGCAACCATGTGATTTCTATCCCTGTCAGATTTACCGTTGCGTAGAAGCGAAGCATTGGCGACCGGGGCAGCCAGCGGAAGAGAATTAATATTCTTGCCTCCTGCTTGCGCAGCCTCTAAGTCCTTATACCTGTAGTATGTTAGCTTGATGTAGCCTTTAACTAAAAAAAAAACCCATTTAAGAATTGTTGTGATCTCATCTATCATATGCTTGGCATCGACTCGTTGAGCGTCAATGAGGGCCTTTACAATATCTGACCCCGCAAAAAAGCTGGAGGCCTGGCGGCCAGACTCCTCATCTCCTGGGTAAATCACAATACCAGCGACATGAATTCCGTATGTGCGGTGCCAGTACAAAGCCTTCAAGAAGATCGCGTTATCAATGAATGTTAGTCACCAGTAAATGTTAGTCACCAAAACAGCACTCACCGATTTTGCAAACATTTCACGGACTGCCATCATAAGACTGCATGACTCTCGAGAGGATAGATCGTCAGGAGTGGCAATCACATGATCAAAATGCTCTCGGATTTGTTTCCATAGAGCTGCGTTCTTAGGGTCCTTGTGTGAATGGGCATGATAATGCTCAGCCTGCTTGGCTTTCCATGCCTGCAAGCTCGCTGAAAAGGTATGAGCATAGATCGGAACAACCTTCAATGCAATAACATACCTGCTTTGGATGGGTGCAGCACAGTTTTGAACCAGGCCTGATGCTGATTCCAAATGGACTCCTTGCGAGTTGCTTTCCTAGCTAATCCTGCCTCCATCAGAATAACCTGCCGATGTTTCCCAAATTGTTTGCCAATGTCGGTCGCTTCCTCCTGGACCCTCTTACCAAAATCATGCACTGCCAAAATAGCTTCCTTAGATAGTCTGCCCGCTTTGTGCGTCGTCTCGTCCCCGTCTTCAAGCTTGTCTTCTTTGTCACAACCCTCGGAATCATCATCATTGTCGTCTACCTCTGCCTCTGCCACTGCTTTGCCCTTCTGATGTCCCACTGTAGATGGGCTGGGGAACCTCATGGGATCCGCATTGCGCTTGGCTTTCTTTCGTTGCTCTTCTGTTGCAGCCCAGTCGCTATCAGAACCAGAGCTCTCTACAAATTTCCCCTCATCAGAAGGTAAGTATGACTTCTGAGCACCAGATCTGCGCGGGCAATGGGCTAACGATGTTACCAAACACATGAGCGGTGTACTACCAAATATATAGTGAAACCTACCTGTGGGATTTTCCCTTTCGTTCGTTTGGATCACGCCATCAGTGTTGGCTGGACTGTCAGCGTTGGATGGAGCTTTTATAAATTATGTTAGTGTATGTACTACGAATTGAATAATATATAGTGAAACCTACCTGCGGTGTTGTTCGTTGCTACGTTGCTGCCGTGCTCACCGTCGGACTGAGCTGTGATAATGAAATAAGTTGATTGTAAACCATGAACGAGATAACAAAACTTACTGGGTGCTGTCTCCCTTTTGTTCGTCGCTGCAGGACTGATACCTGTACCCGTGTCACTCTCAGTGCGGAGAACAGCACTGTCATCCCTGAGAGAAGCTGAGGGACAAGAGTTATTCAAAGTTGAAGACGAAAGAGAAAACGAACCTTCAACTTGCTGTGTATTGTTATCCGTGTCATCTGCAAAATAATCAGCAATAGTCAGAAGGTGGTAAGAATCAGTGAACTTACCATCAGGTAACTGGGCCTCGGGTTCCTCACTTGCATTATTGGACTTGTTGGACTTGTTGCTGACGAACGAGTGCCTGGCGAAATTGGAAAAGAAAATGTCTTCCTCAGCAGATGATGTTAAAGGGTCGGAACATTCGGACCTTGGAAGGGGACGAGGCTTAGGCTGAGCGCAAGGTACCTAACAATGAGTCAGTAGATGGCAAAATGACAGCTATAGGCTTACATTGGCCGACTTTGAACCAGGGCGGGAACGTGCTTCGTTGCCATCCTTTGACGTGGACACCTGGTCGGCTCGAAGTGGGGCTTTTGACCGGCGTCCAGAGCGGGTAGTAAGAGGCATATGTGAGACTGTTTCTCGTAGTCACGAAGATACAAAAAAGGTATGATATTGTCGAAAGAAACACGAAGTTTCTCCACAGTTTTATTGCACCGACACGAAGTCAGGTGAGAATACGCGAAAGAGGATTTGAGATTGTAAGAGCAAGTAAAAAAAAAACTAGAAATTGAGGGTACCTACAGATGGGATAGCATTATATATACAATCACAAGACCCTAAGGCGGTTAGTGGGAACTGGATCACCAAGGAAGGATTCTATTCGCTTGACACTGGTTGCAGTATAAAATACCTGGTTTTTCAAATGTTCAAGATGAACGGACATCAAGAAATAAAGTTACAATATAGTTCGCCTGACAGCCGAATAAAGTTGGCGCCACGGATCGCACAGGATATGTGACGGCAACGAAATGGAGCCAAGAGGTTGGTAAGAAAATCTGTGATAACATTTAACATTAGACCCTACTCTAGAACATGCAGTAGACCAACCTATTTCTAATAGATCTGCATTGAGTATGAGTCCCTACAGTAGAACAAGCGGTAGACTGACCATTTGGATACAATGAAGCTCCAATTGAAAGGTTCCTGAGGGATAGAACAAAAAACTGACCGATGAAATCGAAAACGAATGTTGCGTCAGGGATCGAGTGAACGCATTAAGGAAAAGACATTAAGGAAAGTCAGAAGAGGGAGTGGAGGAAGAGAATTAAGTACACACTCAACTGAGAGGCTCGATAGTGAAGGTCAAACTTTGAAGAAAGGACAAGCGGTGCAGACAGACAGCAAGTGAGGTATGAGGAAAAGGAGACCCGATCAACCCTACTGGTGCAGCAGCGGGTGAGCAGTAAGGGCGATCTTCCAGACACGTAGTCAACTGATCAATTTAAGTGAATGGCACGAAGCCAATTCAAAATAGGATGGAACCAGGAATCCGGGTGGAACATTTGTCAGGGCTATGAGGAAAAGGAGACCCAAAGAGACATTAAAGAAAGTCAGAAGAGGGAGTAGAGGAAGAGAATTAAATACGCACTGAACTGAGAGGCTCGATGGTGAAGGTCAACCTTTGAAGAAAGGACGAGCGGTGCAGACAGACCAGTAAGTGAGGTATGAGGAAAAGGAGGCCCGAAAAGACATTAAGGATTGTCAGAAGAGGGAGTAGAGGACGAGTATAAAGTACGCACTTAACTGAAAGGCTCGAAGGTGAAGGTCACAGCAAGGACGAGCGGTGCAGACAGATTCCAGATGCAAAGCACTCCCGCGGACGATCTTCAACCCTACTGGTGCAGCAGTGAGTGAGCAGCCAGGGCGATCTTTCAGACACGTAGTCTAGGAGTGTTAGATCAGTGACACGGAGTCAACTGATCAATTTAAGTGAATGGCATGAAGCCAATTCAAAATAGATGGAGCCAGGAATCCAGGTGGGTTGCTAGTCGGGGCGAAGGATAAGGGTGGTAGGATGCTGAAGGAGGATGATGGAGACGACGATGGAGACGATGGAGATGACGATGGACGATGGAGACGATGGGATGGGGGAGACGATGGATGGGGGAGATTGAGTAATATGGGACTTTCCCACATTGAACTTGCAATTCACATTCAGTCGGAACTTCATTTGGGATTTTCCCACTTCATGATATTTCTCTTTTGCTACTAACTACTGTCGCTGATCCTCTCTCTTCACTTATCCCCATGTCTGTCGTCCCCCAGGATATCCCTTGACTCCGGCCTGCATCCATCTGAACTGGCTTCATGCCATTCACTTCAATTGATCAGTTGACTACGCGTCGCTGGTCTCACACTCCTAGACTATGTGTCTGGAAGATCGCCCTGGCTGCTCACCTGTTGCTGCTCCAGTAGGGTTGAAGATCGTCCGCAGGAGTGCTTTGCATCTGGAATCTGTCTGTCCCGCTCGTCCTTTCTTTTACCTTAACATTGAGCGTCTCACAGCCGGTAAGGTATTCACTTGTATTTCATTTACTTTTTACTGATTTCTTCTTACATCCTTATCCTGGTTTTATTGCTCTCTTCCTGGCCAGCAACTCGAACTCCCACGATTACACTCCACAACTGACACTAGGTATGTCTCCTTTTTCGATTGTTCGTTGTGTTGCGCAGTGAAGATTTGTAGTACCCATCATGCCTACTGCTCTGACTCTATTCAAAGCGAATACTGCCCTCTCAGACAGTACGTGTTTCTTTATTTGTCTGTCATGTGCTGACGCCAAATTTTCGAACAGATTAGTTACAATCTTTCGACACTTGCACCGTTGCCGTGCAGGGCAATCTGGTCATCACGACTCCCAATATGCACTTCGTCCCCGAATTTCATCACTTCGACGCAGAAATCTTACAAGCCCGCGCAGATGGTCGCTTTGGCGTCATTGACTGCTTCCAGTGGCCTCAGGCTTACGACGATACATTTTGCCATGCTGCTTGCATACTTCGAAAGGAGGCTTTTCCATCTCCTCACCCACTTCATTGGGCCTGGTTCACCCCTACCCAGAATGACCTTAAGTCCATTCCTGGGAATTTGTTTCCTGTGGGCACACTGGCGTCGGATAAGGTCGATGGATTGCAATCCCTCTTCAAACTGGCGGAACAACGACTCCGTGAGTATAGACAGGCTCAGCCAGACAGAGGCCAAGTTATATATGGCCGCCTTTTGTCCCTCCGCCACGCCGTCGCACGCTTGAAGTCGCACCCCCTCACTTTTCGTGATCTTCTCATTTTCATCACTGACGCTCAGCGTCTCTTTCTCGATATATACTCTTACATTGACTGGGTACTCATAGCTCAACCTCTCACTACTTCAGGCTTTCGTCATGCTGTTTGGGGCGATTGGATGGGCGCTTTTGTGCAGAGTAGCGACGTCTGTGAGAAGTGATTCTGCGCTGGTGTCCCCGTTTGGTATGTTCGCACAAGCGCGTTGTCCTGCATGATTTGGGAATCATGCATGGACATGACTACTAGGTATCCCCCTAAAAGACAAAGTCTGTTAGCTTAGTCCTCAGACTAGTCAACCCATACCTTGGTATCAAACCTTGGTCCAATAGTTTCAGTTTTCCCTCAGTGATTCATGAATCCACCATGTTTTGAAGAAAAGTCATATGTGAGATGGGAATCACATAATGACCTAGTTGATATGAGAAGCAAAATGAAGGTTAAGGTATTGCCTTTCCTTTGGCTTATTCACTTTGGCTAGAGAAACCCATAGAGAAAAGTTCAAAGCCTAACAAAAACCTATCTAAAAAGCCCGCGTATTGTGTACTATTATTTGTTCCATTATTTCTGAGTTGTTTTCTCTAGTGTTTCTTTACTTTACTTTTCTATTAGGATGCTCTGACTAATCAGATGCTTCATGAAATTGTACCTACAGGGTATGATGTCATAATGATGTCATAGGACTTCACCTACACTCCTGCAGGTATTTTGGTTGAAAGATATGATATCATAGTGATGTCATAATGATGTCATGTTCCATGGAATTTGCTAGAACATTCCAATGACTCATAATGACTCATAGTGACTCAGAATGATGACATTATCCCACCATGAATATTCTGGAATGTTCTTTTGCACCTGCTAGAACATTCTGCTCCAGTTTTTGGAATATTCTTCTCACATTCTGAAGTCATTACATCACCTTTTTACTTACATAATATTCCCACACAAAATGTATATAAGGAGAGCCCATTCTCCCCCAAAAAAATAGATCTCCCACTTGTTGCATTCAAGAACTCCCTCTTGAGCAAATTGAACTCTCACCTAAGAAGCTTCAGTCTGGACAAATTGCTGCTTACAAAGCCCATTTCCTTTGTAAGAACTGTCCAGGCAAGTGCAGGGAAAGTGTTTCCCTTGAGATTACGTAAATTTCTCGCGATAGAAATCCAGTTTTGTGAGACCAGTGTTCTCACCACGTAGTGTTTACTGACCAACACGAGCTTTGGTCACCGTTGTTATTTGTGAGACCAGCATTCTCACCAGGTATTTGTATACTGACCAACATGAGCTTTGGTCATTGTTGTTATTTGTCATTGTTTTATTTTATTTGTCATTGTTGTTATTTGTGAGACCAGCATTCTCACCAGGTATTTGTATATTGACCAACACGAGCTTTGGTCCACGTAGTCACATTTGAGACCAGCTTCTCAACAGTTAACCGTATATTCAGGAAACCAGTTCAAGTGTCTAGACGGTATATCCTAGACAATCCCATAGTTTCAATCAGAGATAATAAAGCTCCGGCTAAGTTAATCTGACTGATTGGTTTAGCGAGCCTCCCAAGAACTCACACGTTATCTACCACGAAAGAAGAAAAGTCGTAGACCGTGTTAATCGAGGACTGGCAAGAAGTCTTATCCAGTGTAATTGTGGTGTCATTACATTCTTACACATATTTATATAAGACCCTCGGTTATTAAGACAGCGTACATTCCCCCGAACATGAAAGTCATCGAACCTGTTTTACTCACCCGTCTGGATCGCATCATCCTTGGCATGTATGCGGAGGGCAGCAAAGGTGATATACCGCAGCCCTGGTGGTCATCATCGTCATGTCCATGTTCGCCGCCTATATGCAGGTACAACACACCTAGACCCCAAGGCAGACGACCCTCAACCATCGTCCAGCTCGAATTCCGGTCCTAAAGGATCTAGTCATGGCAAGGCGCCATCTCGACAGAAGAGTAAGGCAAAGCACCAGCCATGTAAGCACCTCTTTCTTTTGTGCACGTTGGATACTCACTATTTTAGACTCCATTGAAGCTCGCCCTGCATGTCCTGCTCAGTCAGGCGAATCAAGGGACAAGTGGCAGGACCCTGACACTCCTTACCTTCCGCCGCTGAACCTGCATTGGGAAGCAGCGATGAAAATTGCAATCAAGGACCAGTCGCGTATTCACACGCCCTACGTTATCGATCGGGGGTATAGATTCCCTGAGCCTGCTCTTCTTATCGGCCCCAAACTGCCTGAATGTCTGCAAACATATCTTGCCAATTGGCTTGCATCTCGTGCACTGTGGGTAGGCCGTGTCGTCCACGATCCTCCACGCACTTATCCCACTCCTCAACTCTGGCGCGACTTCCTTGGTAGTGTGCCTTCTGCCCAGCCACAATCTCATAAGGCTGACAGAAAAGGTCTTACAGCCACCGAGAAGCGGAAGCAGGTGATGCGGGAGTTGTTTGGCGATGATTTGCTAGAATCTCAGGGCGATGTATTTTCGCCAGATGGAGTTGTTGAGTTTCGGGGTGAAGAAATCTCCGTCGGCAGTCTTACTAATCCTTCTGCACTTCTAGCCCAGAAGGTCACATGGGAGCTGTTTGAACTCGGCTTTCAATATGAGTTGCGGGATCTTGATTGTCACTTGGCGCAGAGAGAATGGAAGGATGATCCAGCTGGTCGCGAGCAACTCCTCCATGGCATCTTCCCGGGCGATGCTGGTCTAGTGATGTGGTCAGAGCCATTTGCGTCGGAACATTACGGGTTGTGGGATAACACCCTGAAGGGCTGTCTTCCTTACGTGGAGAATTTCCACCGACTGCTTTGCGATTGGGATGGCGTGCCACCTCTTCTTATGACCCCGCTGACATCAGACAACTTCACAGATACAAAGTCTTGGGAAGTCAAGCGTGTGGCTACAGCATTTTACGTCCAGACATTTTTTGATCATTTCGGCAGGCCTACCATCGTACCCCATTCGCTTCCCATGCAATCATGATTCCATAGTTGTCCTGGTGTATTTTCTGTTGTTTGTTCTCGTTACCTTACAATGAAATTGATGCTGTTGTGTTCCTTCTAGTAGTGCGCTCCATTATTCGGCTGTGTATCGTTACCATCAGCGGACTACGATCTTACTCTGGCATTACGATCTGTATGATTTATTTTCTTGTTTCTCCATTTATGGCTTCATGAAAATACGTATTCACTGCGTGCTTGTTTCAGACATTGAGCCAGAGCCTCATCATGATGGCGGGGCGGTGAGTTCACTTCGTGTTCTATGCTATTATGACAAGGCTCATTCTTTCTTCTGGAACAACTTAGTATAACCACGTGAGGATCCAAATAACGAATGATTTCACTACCGCACATAAGTTACGTGATTTCTCAGCCCAATGCGATTGTTTTGATTTTCCATTAGTGATCTTACTTCGTCCATCAACCTCTGCCACCACTGGTTACTATAATCAAACTTCCCCAGACTGCGCGTCCGTGAGCTGAGTTTCCCTGGTTGACTTCGTGTCACAGTTTCCTGCCTTGTTGACTTCGCCTCTTGAGGTATTGCGCAATGGCAGTCCGCCATCCTAAACCTCGACGTCGTAAGGCAACAACCCACCATTCATCACCTCCGTCGATGCATCAGCCGACTACTAGCATTTGCGAACCTCGGATGCTCAATAGATGGAAATGTCCCCGTGAGACAACAAAACTCGACCTCTATCTTCCTGGCCCACCACCCATCTTAGTTCTGCCAGGACGACAACGTCTAGCACAGCAAAGGCTACGTCGTTCATCATCCATATGTAGGACGGAACCCGGACAGATGGATGATGGACCTGTGTTTTCCCTTCAGCGACTCAATACATTTTTCCAATGACGCTGGTCCCCGTCGTCTCACCAGCTCCCAGAAAAGGGCTAATCAATGGCGCAGATGGTCTGAAGATGTAATTCCACGCATGATAGTGCCCTATCTATCATACCTTCAAGAGACTGTATCGCTACGTCATGCCAACATGCCAGCAATACGTCATCAGACTGATGGAGAGTGCAGAACTGGGTGCAAAACTGGTAGCATCAAAGTTGCATGCGTATTTTTGATGGTATATTATCATTTTTTCTCTTCTAACTTAAATCTAATGTACATTACAGCTTTCGAGGAAATCACCATCATTGCCTGCCCTTGTTCGCCTACCCCGCTTCAGCTTCTTCGTTGCGGGTTTTTTCCATGCGCGCCCGTGGCACCCTCCCTGGCGGTCGACTTACGACTTCTTGAGTTTGTCCGCCTTCATTTTCTTCATCAGTCCCCCAACCAAACGGCGTGGTGTGATGCGCTGGAGACATTTCTGGACGGAATGCAATATAAGTTGAGGCTGAAGGTAAAAAAATTCTGATCTCATCGTTGCATATCCATGCTAAACCTTCCGACAGAATAGCTTACGGCGTCACTTCAGCAATGCGTTCCACTGGTACCAGGTTTTGATTGTATTGGCTCAGGACTACATCTCTATGCTCGTCGTTGGTTCCCGGAAAGATGATGCTCGCGTGGACCAACCTAGTGATTATCTCCGCTCGCGGTGCCCACTCTGTTTTGGAGGGAATGATTGGCGAAATGGAGCAAGAGATTCTCTTCCTATGTGCGTTATTTCTTACTATGCTACCACATCAATTAATCATTTGTAGGCCAGATGTTATTGTTTGCATTGACGCATGCTTTACACAGAAACGCTCTGCAAATCCTCGCGGTGCTACTGGCAGTGATCCTCCTAACCCGACACCATCTTTCTTTCTACCGATGGACGATGTGAAAGCAATGGAAGATTTTGTTGAAAGGTGTCACAGAGACAGACAGCAAGCAAGGACCTCGAGGGCGGAACCTGATGAAGATAGCTATGAGGAGGGCATGCGCATACCAGTATCTGTCTTGAATGGATGTGGTGACTCCTTCATTGCTGCAGATGAAAAGCGGGAGAAGGCAAGTACTCGTTTCTTTACCGATACTGGCCTCATGGCACTGGTTTGTAGACATGACCGTGTCCTATGGATTGCGAACCTGACATCTGCGGGAGAAAAGCAACATTATGCGCTTGCTCTCTTGGACTGATTGTTCAAACATATACCTACTCAGATGACCATCGGGCTTTTGTACGATATCGGATGCCAGCTCAAACAGAGCTGTCGCAAGTGGAATTTCCTGGACGATTCTACTCTATCTCACATTGCATTTGCTGTTGCTGTGTTCCATGCGTATGGTCACCAGTAGGCGTGTCAGATCGTCTACCACCCTAGGAAGTGAGAGGGATTTGGCTTGTCTGATGGTGAAGGATGCGAACGATTATGGAGTTTCCTCAAGCCTCTCATCCCTTCCCTGCGTGTATCAGGGGTATGTATGCTCTTTTTAAATCAGTCTATCAATCTCACTCTTCCGCGAAGTCTAATCAGTGACTTTTCATCCTCGATACTCAAATTCGCCACTTAGACTCGAAATCTTTGCAAGGATTTGGACACTGGCTCCATCGGCGTTGGATCCACTGTCAATCAAAGAAGAATGATGCGCTGGACCGTTTACATGCATTGGAGTTGGACGAGAATATGCTCCGTGTAGAGTGGAAGGCCCAGGTTGATCACCAGACGCGACCCACACCACGTATGCAAATATCTAAGTGTGCCTACTGCTTAACTGAACGTCATGTAGGACAATCTAGAAATAAGGTAGTGGAGGTGATTACCATTATCCTAGCACTAGAGAAGACGCTACAAACTCAGGAAGCCTCCATACGCGAACTCGAGATGCAACTCCATGCTGTCCGTGTCTCTAATATTGGGGAACTCAATCTGCAGCTTGTAGATGCTCGGTCCCGGTATAAAAAAACCGCTGACACTCTCCGACGTCATCGAGCAGCACTTGGAACGGAAGACAAGGTCAACCTGGAGAAGATGAAGAAGGATATACCTTACAGTTCGTTTGAATGCTCGCGCAATCAAAACTCGCATACGTGATTGCCTTCATCAGTGAAAGTTTGAATTGGAGAGACTTGAGAGATCATACAGAGCCACAGTCAATGGTGTGTTGATAGTTTTATTACACTGATACATCTCATAATTTTACAGCTGAGCGTAAACTTCATGCGAATACGCAACACTCAATCGAACGCCGAGAGCCTGGCATCCTCAAATTAATTACTACCTACAATGGTTTGTGCTCACAACTACGGTCTCTTATTCAACAGCGGCGAGCACCCCCTTCTGCTGTTCCCCCTCATATCATCCCGCGTGATGGCATCTTTCAGCTCGACATTGATGACGACATCTGGCAAGATGTTGGGCTAGATGATGACCCTCTGAACCCTCCAGCATGGCTATCGGATGACAAGGTCAGGAATGGTATCCGGTTGCAACTTGAAGCTGACCGGTGCAATGAGGAGGAGGCTTGACTGATGTGGGAGAGGGCCGTCCTTCAAGAATGGATGTTAGCAGAGTGGGACAGTACGCAAACTGCCTTGAATAAAGCAGGTGCGTCAGTGTGCAAATGTTATGAACAGTATCTAATTATTTCACAGTCGCAGATCCAGTGATGTCTTTCCACCTTGGGTCTCGCGCAGATGAACTTGTCAACATCTGCGTCATCTGGAGGAAAAAGGTTCAGTGTATTCCGTGCGTGTGGCCTATGATTGCGAGTTGGGGACCCTCAGACGAGGCTTTGGTTCAAGCCGCTTTTAGTCAGGCACGATCATCGTTTTGGGATGAGGATGATGATGACGAGAGTTTGGAAGGAGATAGAGAGGGTGATGGAGAGAGTGACCTGGAGTATGGCGAAATTGAAGATGAGGAACTGATGGATGCTATTGAGGAGATTGCATTGGCAGATGCATATAGGTATGACCAGAATAAGGAGCTCGTGGATGACCTGGATGACTTGGATGACATTGATAATGACTTCATGCCTTCTTCCCCTATAAAATCGTTACACAAGCGGCGCAACATGTAGAATGCAGTGTTTCAATACAATATTTTCTGTAATATCCTATTTATTTAATAAGATATTTTCTGTCACATCCCATTTGTTAAATTTGTTAAGATATTCATTAACACATGTGTGCATATGACAGACAGAAAGAATTCACATACCATTTTGTGCAATTCATCAATTTTTTCTTGGCAAGGGTACTGGACCAACATCATAGATTCGTACCATACAGCATTCCAATCATCATCAATTTTTTCTTGGTGGGAGGACTGGACTGTCATCATAGATTCTAACCGTACAGCATTCCGATCATTCTTGGTGGGGGTACTGGACTGTCATCATAGATTCATACTGTACACCATTCCAATCTTCATTGATTTTTCTTGGCAGGGGTACTGACTGACATAGGGAGGGGGGGCTCTGTAATAAGGGGCATTCTGCGCAATTTATCAATTTTTTCTTGGTGGGGGTACTGGACAAACATCATAGATTCGTACCGTACAGCATTCCGATCATGCTTGGAGGGGGTACTGGACCGTCATCATAGATTCGTACTGTACAGCATTCCAATCTTGATCAATTTTTCTTGGCGGGGGGTACTGACTGACATAGGGAGGGGGGGGTCTGTAATAAGAGGCATTTTGCGCAATTCATCAATTTTCCTTGGTGGAGGTACTGGACCGTCATCATAGATTAATACCATACCGCATTCCGATCATCATCTATTTGTTCTTGGCGAGGATACTGGACTGACATAGGGAGGGGGGGTCATCTGGAAAAGCGAAAAGGTGTATAATAAAGGTGTGGGTTATCTTGTCCCTGTAACTTGTATGTTGGGTATTGGACCGACATCATAGATTCGTACCGTACAGCATTCTGATCATGTTGTTGTGGGTCTGCCCTATATTACATATGGTTCACCCTAGTTAGTCTATCATGTTGTTGTGGTCCACCCTACATGACATATGGTCCGCCCGACATAGGCTATATTGTCTTTGCGGTCTGCCCTATAGGACATATGGTCCTCCCTAATTAGTCTATAGTGTTGTTGCGGTCCGCCCTACGCAGGCTGAATTGTCTTTGCGGTCTGCCCTATGGGACATATGGTCCTCCCTAATTAGTCTGTAGCATTGTTGCGGTCTGCCCTATGTAGGCTATATTGTCTTTGCAGTCTTCTACCATGGGATCATGACCGAAGATACTACTGGTAAACCTGGCATCCAGGCAAAGGTAAGTAGGATGGGCAAAATCGCCTAGGCAAAGGTATGGTAGAAGTCACAAGTACCATGGTTCAGCACTTTTGGTAGGGGTCTGACAAAGGTAAGTTATTCACGGGATTTAGAGTGATCATGTAGCCAACAGTCAAAAGTGAGTATCAACAAAGGTACTGATTGCGCAAAATTTTGAAAAACTAGGCGACCACTACCAAGGTCCAAGGTAGGAAGCATCCTAGCTATCAACTCTGTAGCTTTTTTTTATTGTACTACGTAAAACTCCGGAATGTACAGGTGAGGTCAGTAGCAAGTGTAGGTGCATGGGGATATGCATCTGTAAAATTCAACCAGCATCCCTGCAGCGAAAGTATGTAACAACTATACCACATTATTACGTGCAAATCGACAGGACATGTGCAGACATAGGGTGTAAACCGGTCAAAGAGGCTCGGCTGAGTGACAGATAAGGAAGGTAGGTCCAGGTATGCCAGTAACACATAGACGAATATGGTAATACAATCATAGTGTGAAGTAGTAGAACTAAACAGATACAACCACAAATACTACCAGACTTCGGAATGTACAGGTGTCTTCCTAGCAAGACACTAAATTGGGCAATGTACAATTGCATCCACAAATTCAGCCATTATATGATTCTATACGGTAGATATAACACAAACATTCATTGTAGTCTAATGCTATTCACCATCAGAATCAACAGAAAATTACTGCAAAAAATCGAACATTTAGGTGGTTTGTGACCCCAGACACTCCTATATATCCAGGGAAATCCATTAGATATGTGGTCCAAAATACCCTGTGGTACGTGCCATGACATGGTCCCAACGGTCTATGGTCCATGTGCAGCACATTCTCTTTTGGTCCACAAAAACAATAGGGAAGGACCATGGAACACTGGAGAGACCAGCAGAAACATACCTCTTAGGTGCAAACCTCTATATACAACAATCAACCTAAGAGGTATCTAAAATTGGGTGACCAAAGTGTTCAACCTGGGCACCAACAAATTGATGAAAAAGGTCGACACAGCATGTTGCAGTTTTCTTGCTACTGGTAAGAATAGTTGTTACTTACACATCTCTGATTCTGATCTCCTGCTTAGCTTTTACAGAGACTTGGCACTAGCCTATATGAATCTGAGTGATTTCTTTTTGTAAATGACTACTGTAAAATAGGATTGATTACTCTGCTGTGATACATATTCGTGTATAGATTATCGTTGAGTGAGTGATGATTCAACTGTGAGAGGGCGATGAGTGGGTGATCATTGGGTGATCAATTTTATCTGGAGACAAAACTTGATGATTTGTCTTCACATTTTATCATCAGGGGGTATTTGAAATATTAACGCCTGTCGAAGTGGTGGTCTAAACTTCATACATGAGCAGACATTCAATCACATGCAATGGTTGAAGTTTTTTCGAGTATTAAATGTGAAGTTTCATTTTGAAGTTTAGGGCAGCATTAAAAATACATTTATATTTCTTATTGTCGTTGATGTTCGGCTGGCAACAAAATGTTTGCTAATGCTTTATATTTCTCATGTCGTGCAAGATCTCTTTAATATTTGAAATTTTGCATCTCCTTTGACGACAACCTAAATACTAAGTGTTATCTTCACATTTTGCATGGCATTCAAACCTGTCTTAAATATTGCAAACTGATGACGGCACAAGGTAGAATGCAATCTCGCATAATGTTAACCAGATACAATCATAGTTGTGATTGGGAGAAATTCTGAGGGCTAAGTACAAAAACACGACCTTATATACTGTCGAAGTGTACCAAGCCTGAAAATAAGGGGAAAACATATTACACTGAAAACTTAACATATGGGCCCAGGAACAACGAGTTACCGGGCCTAGAACAGTCTATCTTCGATATTCTGAGACCTTCCTTTTGTGTGGGTGCCGGCGCCACATACTCCCCTCCAGGATGTGCAACATCCTTCATTTCTTCCTCCTGGTGGGTTCCTTCCCAGAAATGTCTCCGGCGCTCTTACCTGGCTGGGACACAAGTTCCTCTTCTTTATCAACTTCCATATGCGCCTGGTTACAAGGGGCAGTAGAGGTAAGAGGGGACAAATTGCAAGGGGTATGAGGAGTGGTATGAGTGCTGCTTGGCCCTTCACCTCAATCCTTTGGCAGATTGGTAGGGGGGATGCTAGCAGTGTGGCGGGCGCATTTGGCTGCCTTCCGCTCCGAGATACTTCGGTTGCGCCATTCCCTTTGCCATTTGGTGGTCTCAATATTCATACACAGGGCCTCTTCCAATAGCTCAGCCCAGCAAGGATTAATCCCACGCCCGCCTTCCGGGGGGCGGTGGATTGGTGGTGTTTAGGTTGCAAGGCTGGGGGGATATCCTCACCAACGAGGTCTGTGAGGGGATGGGGAAGGGCCTCCGATGTGTGGCCCTTTGGATGATTCTTCCGTGATGCAGGACACGAGTCCATTGGCGGGTCTGCATCATGTTGAAGGAGAGGACAAAGTCTCCATACCCTACGGGGTTGGCACGATTTGCAGCCATCCCAGACCATAAGGATGCATTGTGTTCGAGGTAGGCGCAGAGCATGTCGAGGACAACCAGCATGTCCCCGTTGCCTAGGCAGTGGGGCAGGGTAAAACGACACATGCCAGTGCATGTGAGGATGGGGGGCATGGTGGTGATGTGACAGGCGAATAGCAGTAGGGAGTCATTGGAGGTGAAGGAAAAGGAGGGAGTTAGGAGAGGAGGGAGTGAGGCCCAGGGCTTTATAAGCCGAGTCTTTGGGGGATAGGTGCCCTACTGACACCTGGGAACCTCCTGTTGGGGGGCTCCTGGTCCCTTCCTCTAGTTCCAAGATGTTCTCGATACCTAGTACTGTAAAGTATTCTTTTAGTGCGTCTAGCTCTTCTACTCACTTATAGGGCAACCAGGTGATGTTACTGCTTTTCCACTTGGTTTCAAACAGGGAGTCGGTGTAGAGACTCGCGTTTCTGTGGGCTCATATGGGCTCATTTTACGAATTCTGATGACTGGCCTTTACTGCACAACTCGCACTATCATCCACTATGACTTCCCTATAGAGCGCACCACTTTCCCGCAAAACGCGCCATAGGCGCGACACTTTCCCACACAACGCGCAGCATTCCCACATGCGCGCCTTGCGTGCTTTCTCGCGCTTAAGCGCCCTGCATCGCGCATCATCCAGGAGCATCCATCCATCGTCCGACCAGTCCCTCGGTATGTCCCTTTTCGTGATCTGACCATATTTGGCATATTACACTTCCCATTTCATTATGCACCCTTACTTTACATCACCTTACCTCACATTACATACTTAGAGCGCTCCCTATTCGGCTCCGAGCCCTGGGAGAGCGCTTAGGTAGAACTTACATACTCTCATGTTCGTTTTACACCGAACATTACACCTTAGCTTCCTACCACCAGCTTCCTACCACTCAGTATCTATCACCAGTTAGTTCCATGCAATGCATGTGTCCATCATCATCTTGAGGCCCTAGCATCAGTCTATAGCTAGTGGCACTATCAGTATCTGTCTAGATCTGCGCTTTACCTCTTATCAGTCTCAGTATCCGTCTCCTACACTTGTGCACCGCTTGCACTACCTTCCCGCACTTCGCGCACTTTCACACTTCGCTTTCCAGTGCGCGTTTTCTCGCGCTTTCACCGCCATTCACCAGGGTTGTTCAGCATCATTCCGTGGATCCTTGCTTTCTTTGCTTCCCCTTTAGGGTCGAACGTTCTTGCATTCTGCAAGTATAGCAGCTAGGCAGAGCTAAGACT